TGCCTTGGTGGCAGAAACTGAGTGTAAAACACACAGGATCAAAGGCTCAGTGTGGTGTTCATCAGTTCTAGATGAATTCCATGGCTGAACGGGTTAAAAGCACAACTCGGCTACCAAGGGGGAAAAAAAAAGACAATCTCGCTCTCTGGAATGGCATCTTAGTTAATTGAAAGAGTTTGGGCGTTAACCTAATTAAATGCGTGGAACCACAATTGCTAGTCTTTGAGCACAGTATAAAGAGAGCCCTGTAGAAGGAAGCCTGTCTCGCAGCAGTAGCGAAGCGCAAATAGCCAGCAATTACAGGCCTGTATCTTTCCCCGAGATCAAGGGGGCAGAAGTCTAACAATTATTCACATTATAGAGGGGATTGCAGCCGATAACGTCAGATTTGAGGGAAGCACAAGCTGTACATGGCAAATTGGGCTAAAATAGGTTGGGCTGTTAGCACTTGAAGTGCGATTGAAAGTCCAAAGTTCCCAGTTCCTGGATTACTTGCATCATCTCTGGGTCAACAGCACAGCCACATTAACAGAACCGCGTCACAACGAGAGTGATGACAGGGTGGAAGCTTTGACCTTTGAACCAAGTTGGCTGGAATGCGACGTGTACTTCTGGGACCGATTTCAGCTCAGTACTCTTACCCCAGCCTCACCAGCAACACATGGCTCCCTCTCTCTGCCTCAGATGCCAGCCTTCCTTTACAAACACGCTGACCGCTCTGTATTTTCACAGCTATCAACCTACTGATATGACAGGAGCAACACAAAGGCAAGACAGACATTTTTTTCTAGTGAATTTTTCCACCTCCCGTATCCCGTAGCCATCCTCACCTGGGAGGTGTAGAAAAGGCTGTGCAGTTTCGTTGATGACATCAGGAGCTCCTGATGGTAACATCACCTGAATGTTCCTCTCACCAGAGCAAACACAAATGCCTAGTTGCTACTGGCCCAGTCAGCATGGTAATTATAAGCTCTTAAATACTCGGGAGTATGTGCTCAGGCTTGCTTTTCCTTTGCAGTAAAGCCTGTCCTTTTCCTTGGATGACTACAGTCATGACACAACAGGCAAGGCTCAGTACAAGGGATATCCTGCCTGCCAATCACAGTGTCCCCGTGTGCGCCCTGTCTTACAGAGTGGATATCACAGACCGCAGTCATGGGCTCTTTCCCTGCAGCACCTTCTGGCACTGCTGGAAATCGTCAGCCGCAGGACGGCTTTAAAAAAAAAAAGGATGCAATGACATCATCATCTTGGCCCGCCAACGCGATGAAGCCAGAGCTGCTGGAAACGGCTTTCAGTTTCCTGGCTCTCACTTTCGTTTGAGACCAATACTGCAAACGTGTTGAGGCAGGCGAGTCTTCTTACCGGGGACTCAAAGGGCACTGACCCGAGGAGAGGAGGTTCAGTCTGTGAGTCACAGACACTCAGGCTGTGCCAAGAGAGCCTGACTGGCTGTCTTACAGTCCCACCCTTCCTCTCCCTGAAACTTGCTAAGACGGCCTCTTACAATCAAAGAACAACAAGTCCCGGAAATCCCTGCCAAACAGAAGACAAATGAGGGTCGGAGTCAAGGTCTGACACGCTCCGATTGTCCTGCACAGCAAGAAGACTCCCTTCAACATTACAAACAGCAGCCTTGACACTCGGGGTGACAGCAGTGGCCTCAGCTGCAAGAATAAAGCTGCAGTAGCAATGCAATGACAGCATAGACCAGAGACACTGTCCCCGCTGTTAGAAACACTGTAACCGACAACTTAACATCTCCTGCTGATGATTGCAAACTGTCAGAGATGGTCAAATATATTATTCCAGTTATTTTTCTTCTCAAAAAGCTTGCAACCTGTGAAATACAGACTAAACTGCTACATGTGTATTTGGAAGCAGAATTGTCAGCCAAGACAGCCCAATCCACGATCACAGGTTGGCCCTTTGAAGTTGGGATGAGTGACACAAAAACTAAAGCCGAGAAGTATCGACTTCACTCAGGAATAACAAATGTATTTCAGTGCAGTGAAATTAACCACAGTCTAACAACCTGAACCTGCTATATTCACTAACTCGGTCACTCAGACTAGTGGCTCAGAGAGAAAAGCGAATGTTTTACAAAAAAATATCCGGCCCTTCCTATATCAATGTGTTTTATTTTCTTCATAGCTTTACATGGTGAATAATAAGCCGATTTCCTCCAAAAACATACTTAAAAATATAAGATGCTTGTGTACAAAATGACCATATACGAGTTGGATCAAAAATCTGGACAAGCACACTGCCCTCTGGGACAAACACGACGTAAAAATGGCGTTGTATGCCCCTTGATATCGATACAGTGGTGCAGTGATCGGCCTTACTGCCAGACAGTAATCAATTCTGGACCTGAGATGCTGTCCGTGTGGAGTATGTATGTTCCCTCCGTGTTTGCGTGCATTTCCTCCCACAGTCCAGAGACATACCCTGGAGTAAGTGTGCGTGCGTGCGTGCGTGCGCTGTGATGGACTGGCGTCCTGCCCAGGATGTACCCCGCCGTGCACCTATTCCCTGCTGGGACAAGCCCTGGCTCCCCGCTCCCCGGAAACAGCGGTTAGAAAATGGATGGATGCACGCCCCCGAAAACTTCTGAAGAAAAGAAAAAAACCCGGCGTTGACCTAGCAGCCGTGCGCATACAGTACATGATCTTATAGCACATGAATCACAGCAGCAGCAGCATCATCCCTGCTTGACAGAGGCTTCTGTGGAAACACACAGAGCAGACAGCCACGTGGAGGAGTCCGGCGGAAGCCATGCTGCACGCTCGAGTGGACACTAAAGCCCGGAGACAATAATTAAATTGTGCTCTCCACAGTCAAGGAAGGGGCTCGCTCACGCTGCGTGTGAAACCGCGGCCCTCATTCATCGCTCCACAGTGAAAACAAGGCTCGCTTTGTGCCCACGAGCCCCAGTCCATCGCCAGAGGCCACGCCAGGGACTTCCACTCCGAGGCTCTCACTCTGACGAGACAGACAGCACACCGCGGTCACCCACTCGCGCCCGGCGGGGCGGGCGTCAACTCCATGGCGCGCAAGACGAGTCCGAACACATATCCTCCATCTTCTGCCCCAGAGGAAGACTCGATGTTTTTGCTCGGCAATAGCCAGGGCAGTCTGCACCGTGACACAGTACAGACTTGAGACAGAAAACAACTACATGATCAAACAAAAGCCGTTCTGGAAAAAAATTAAACAGGCTGTTTCGATCGTGGGCTATGGCCACGCATCCAGTGAGCCAGCCTAGCTTAGGCCCAGGTATCGCAGAGCTCCTGTTCCACTCATCGCATGTGCAGTCTTGGCCTTGCTGCTGGAATAACCAGACAGGCAGCAGAACAGCTCCTAGAGCTCTAATTCCCATTGCCTATCATCCCGAATACTTCCCAGAGGGAATTTCCAGCATGTGAATTTGTACTGCCCTGCATTACGACTGGATGCGATCGGGTCAGACCCAAAGGGGAGGGAGGAACGTACACAGAACCAGCAAGCCTCAGTCTCAATGCAAATCCCTCAGTGCTCACCGGAGCTGCAACAAGCACCAGGCTAAAGGCCTTCGAGTCTAACAGCAGAGAGCTGGCTTCATACATCACACCCTGAAATCTGTCGGATGCTGGCGATACTAGAGGAGAACATAATCAGATGCTACTAAGGGTTTTGCTGTGTTGGCACCAGACTAGGATGTATTTAGCATGGCAGGCATGTAGTTTCCCTAAGAAACATGGGATTAAGATGAGCTAAATACAGCAAGAATGAAGCTCCTATCGCAGCATAATAATTCCCTTCCGATTATGGATGCAATCTCCGCTTCTGATCAGCATTCATTACCCAGCCCCAACCAGCTATTTCTCAACCACAGCTCCAACAGGACCAGGATAACAGTGACTTCTTATGCAAAGTACTGAAGAGAATAGGAACTCAAAGTTACGTACTGTGCTGTAACAGGAAATCGCTTACAGATTGGATAGGGGAGTCTAAATAAATCATTATTTTTGTAGTTTTCTCCAATAATTCATCCATCCACTTTCTAGCTGCTCTATCCAATTCAGGGTCAAGAGGGAGCTGAAGCCTGTCCGGGCAAGCAACGTTCACAAGGCAGGGTACGCCCTGGATGGGACGCCAAGTCACTCACATACAGACACACACACTTACGTCAGGGCCAGTTTTCCCAGAAGCCAGTTAACCTACAAGTATGTCTTTGGGGTGTGGAGAAAAACTGGAGCACCCACGCAAAGATGGGAAGAACATACAAGCTCCACACAGACAGCACCCCAGGTATGGAATTGAACCCAGGGCATAAGGACTGCGAGGCAGCTATGATAACCACTGTGCCGCCTAGTGCCAATCCTGCTTGCAATACCTGAAACCAAAACTTTCCAGGTAATAAACTAGTGTCCCCAATTCCAAGCATGTTCTTCGTGTTCCTAAATCAGTTTCTTACTTGTCAGAGGCCTACAGCTCCATGACTCCTGGAGTCTCTTCCTTCACTGTGCTCTGTCTGCCATGCTCTTCCCTCCTTTGCCCAAGGCACGGGTGGAAAGTTTGATGTTGACTCTGGAGACCATTTACATACCCAATTCATGAGTTCTGAACTCGTGCGTCTGCTCATGACTGCATCTTACCTGCCCAAACATATTTCAGCTTGTACTGTTTACCGGCATACAATTTCAAAATGCAAAATCATTGACACACAATCCACCCATGTGCACCTTCCAGACTTCCTGTGGATGTGCCTCTTTCCCTTTCTTGAGAAATCATTTTTGATTCTTCTCCTTATTGAAAAATCTTGTCTGATAGCACAGGCCCCGGCTGGAGGTTAGTTTGATGATTGCACACGATTGTTAAATGTTGTAACACACCTCGTTGTAGGATAAAAGGAACGCTATAGGGTAAATACATATGAACCCTAATTTATAGATCTATTTGAGTACTGATGTCCTTCAGAGCTCCGTACAGATTCAAGAGGCCCCGAGGTCACTTACCAGCTCGTCCAGATTGCGCATGTCGCACAGGACCCTCCTCTGCGGCCAGCTGGGGTACACGGGAACGCCTGGCAGGGGCACCCCGGGATTCTCCTCCCTCAGATACCCCCTACTGGGGGGGCTTCGCTGGGCACCCCCCGCGAGGCTCTCCTGGTCCCGTATCTCCTCCTCGATCTCCTCCTCCAGCTGTATGAGCATGGGCGCCAGCATCCCGAACTTCGCGCCCCTGCGCGCCACCTCCAGCAGGCACAGCACGAAGTTCTTCTCGTTCTTCCTCAGGACCAGGTCGTTCGTCTCGAACATCAGCACGTCCTGTATCCACAGCTCCTGCCGGCACCAGGCGATGAAGTTGGACACGTTGTCCCGGGCCACGAAGGACCCCGGCGCCACGCTGCGGGGCTGAAACACCACGTCTTTGCGGGGCACACGCATCGACCTGGCAGCCTCCGGGTTCTCCAGCTGGAAGTCCAGCGCGGCCCGGTTGACGTTGTTGGCGTGCCTGCAGAGCGCGCCTCCCGTCTCCAGACCCTCCATGAAGGTGTCAGCCGTGATCTCCAAGTCGTACAGCGTGTTGAGCCACTCCGCCAAATCCTCTTTCATGGCATAGAGGTATTCCTCGCTGGACTTAAAAGGACGAATGCTTTTGGAAGCCGCAGACTGGATGTTGCTTTGATCGGCCATTTTACCCCCAATGTAACTTAACAACCACCCACAGCTATTAAAATCTAGTTACAAACACTCGCTCTGGAACCGGACAGCAGACACACTCTGTAGCAGCCATGATTAACGACGTGCGCTTTGGACGAAGTTCTCAAAGCAAGTGGTGGATATTCTCATTCGCCGTCAGCAGGGACAAGTAACGCAGCGTGGAATCCTTCCCAACGATAGAGTGTTCAATCCCCATGTTCTCCTCATCGTCACTCGTAAAACGCATCAGCCGCTGTGAGGAAAAAGAGCAGAAAATAAGGACAAGCATTTAGTAGGACGCACGATACTTTGCTCCGTAGCGCTGTGCCGTGTTTTCCGAGCGACGCTTCTCCATTTAAAACTATACAATAGCACACAGACTCCTTCGGTACTTTCATTTCGGTCTGGCTAAGTTTTCATAAACGACCCCCACCTGTTCAGATGGGTTTAACACCCGTAACAGTCTCCTCACAGCGTCTCTCCCGGAGCAGAAGCTCCTGTAACGAACATGTTGACCTACTCTGACTAAGGACGGTTCAGAGCCCGTGGCATTATCTTATTACCGGAGGATCAGCGCTTGCAGGAGAGAAAATTAACTCTGTGCAGCTCGAACAAGACCTGATAAAAACGGCTAGCATACAGTTACAGGTATCTGCCTGGTCATAAGTCGATTTCAGAACCATAAAGATGTTAGGGGCTGGTTTTACATTCTGCGATTGGCAGCAGTCCGGAACTCAAGTGCTACTCAGGTTTTGTGAAACTTCTGCTGTGAATCGTCTGGATATACACTACAGCATTTTAAACTAAAGAGGAAAACCAAAATGCCTTTCGTGTGCCTTTAATTTGATCTCAGAATGTGTTCAAATACCAGTTTGGACGAATGGCAATGGTTTAGTGTGAGCTAAAGGCAAAACGTTAAGAAAGACGTGTTAAAAAAAAAGTTGTTACAAAAAGGTTTTATTTTCACTGGACATTGTAGACATACAATTATTTTATATACAATAAATTGCATCCGCTTTTCGGTCCCAATCCCACATAGATTAACAAGGTCTATAACGGATCACAAACAGCCCTGTTCATTGCCATCTTGAAATTCCGAGGATTTGCAAGCAATCGAAATGAAATTCAAGCGACACGCGTGCTGAACTTGTTGCAAAGCGACAGCCCTTATACACCCGAACAGCTCTGTGAAGACCGGGCTGCTCCACCTTTCAGTATTAAGGATCTGCAGCTCAGCGAAATGGCACTTGGCAAAGTGTTCTTCTACGAAAGCAGAACCCACGAGGAATAAAAAAAAAAAACAACTTCAAAGCCGGTGATGCGACACCTCACCAGGGGGTCAAAGTTTCCCTGTAGTGTCTTGATTCCCTAAACTGGTATTAAACGGAAAACGCAAGTCAGATGTCATCTCAGTGTGTAATGCCCGGGGCATTCCAAAAACGCGCGGTGTGAAACATGTCCGAAGCAGGCTGGAGTGCGCAATATGTTGAAAATACCCCCCTGCCTGCGAACGACCGGTCCCAGACAGACACCCCTCCTTTCAGAAGCTGAATTTACTTTTACTGTAACTCGTCTAGAGCTCTAGGCGCTTGGGTGTAAAGCTGAATACAACAGTAATTACATTTTGCTTTCAGAAGTCTGTATCGAAACATCTGATATTTTACGGAGTTCAAATGATTCAAGATGGCACAAAACGCTTACCTGCTCAGGTGAGTTGTGTAGTAGGGCTCTCTTAACCAAGCACTGTTTCTTAGCCAGGCCTCTTCGTCAACACATCTCCACTGTTACACAGAACTAAAATAAAGTCCCCGACATTTACTTTAAAAAACAACAACAACAACAACGGTACTGTTACATCCAAACTCCGCTTTCTTCGCGACCAAAGCGAGGACCGACTTCTGAATAAATATATTATCGAGGAGCCGAGTTTCCCCGGCGGTCGTGTTAAAATAAAAAAAGCGTTTAAAACAAAACGAAAGTCATAGGACGATATATAAAAGGGGGGGATTTAAAAACTTTTAGGGGAAACCCAGATTCTATCCCCTGTGCATTTTAACGTACAAACACTGCCCGTGGAGGAAAAAACGTGAGTATTAATGGTCTCTCCTCGCCGCCCCGGCTGCGGTTTCTCCGCTCCGCAGTCCAGGTCCAGTCTAACAAGCGCAGCTACCCGGAATTCACTCCTCCCTCCGGGGCCCGGAGCGTCGAACAAGACCCGACCACCACGGCTCGGAAAGTCGCAGAAGACATGCTCTTCATTAGTGTATTAATTGCCAGCACACCCTTCTTCCACGCCTCTTCCTAGTCTGCACCGGCGCTCCCCATCGCCCTGTCTCTGCCTGCGAGCGGGCTCTCCGCGGCTCTCAGACCTCGCTCGGGCATGCCCAGCCGGGCTGCGCCAATCTCCCGTCCCATCTCCTTTTTTGAGATCCTACTTCCTCACACGGCCACATACACCCATTCTCTGGAGAGCCCGCCCCCCATCCGTTAATTCTCGGGTTAAAAGGCACAGTCCGGTGCTGTCACTATTTCCCCACACAACGGCATTATCAGTGGGGTGCATTGGGAAGGTTAGGGCACAGGGAATATATATATATATTTTTGCCCTGTTCAAAGTTTTTTTGTTGTTGTTCCCATCACTATGGATACTGTCTGCTACCTCGCTGCAGCAAAGTCTGCCATTTAAATCACTTTTTTTTTTCTTCTCGCAAATCTGGAATGGAGCCAGATTCTCCAAATAAAGAGATACGCAGAATTCGTCTTAAAGGGGACTGGCCTTTTTAAATTCCGTTTTATAGCTAATACGCGGGCCTATTTGCCCCCTTTCGTATGATCTGTTATTGACTAGAAAAACTGAGTAGGGGGTCGAGAGTTTCTTAAATCCTCTTCAATTCTGAATCGATTTAGTTCATTGTAGTTTGAATTACCGTTTAAAACGATTTTTGGGGAAAAAAAGCCAAAACCAAATAAAAAGAGAGACTTCAGGCCGCTGTAGTTGCCCAAATGGAGCTGTTTTTCGCAACTCTGACACCCAGATCTGTGTATTTTGAAGTGTTCCTATCCTGTTCCTATGCCTGTGACATGATTAGAGGTGTAGAGATGTAAGAAGAAGATTTGTTGAGTGTGTGAATCCCAGTCACACACAGCTGTAAAAGGAGTTATGAAAATCCCCTGAGAAGAGATGAGTGTTTTAGAGGAGGGGCAGAAACAGAGAACATTAACACTCTTGCCTCTCAGACGCAGGGAGATCTTAATCCTGGCCACAGACGACCTCACCCATTGCACTGACAGAAGAGCTCAGACACCTCTGATTATGTGGAGTCAGAGGTGGAAAGTATAACCTCGCAGGTGTCCTTCAGGACAGCCGGTGTTAAACCTGAGAGGGTCTGTGACGAGCGTTTTGAGCCACAGAAGGTCACTGGAAAAGAAACCAGGCTTTCATCTTCAGCAGAATGGCTGGTTAGCTTCCCTCACACAGCCTCAGCTCTTTCTGTATAGAAGCTCCTCCAGTTCTTTCCACTTCCACCCTGTCTTTATCAGTCCACTGCTCAAAGGATTACCCACAATCCTTCAGAGGGAGGCCAAATCGAGTTAACCTTGACCAGTTCGTTCGCCTGTGCAATCTGATGAGTTAACCCTGCCATTTTACAGGAGATTTTCCCTTTGGCCATTCGTTAATTACTTGGGATCCAGCCCAGCATTTTTGTGACCTTACAGTAATACACCCTTCTTGAAGAGTGTCTGTTTTAGTCCCTTTGCTGTCAAAATGATGCTACACTCCTGTATTAGTGTATTTTGAAATGAGGAATTCATTCCAAACAGCAGCAGCAGCATGCTATTGGATGTTCCCCATGATTGAGAATAAAAGCACAAGTATCTGAAGATTCATGGAGTTCAGAAACAGGACATTTGTGCTTATCTTCAGGCTGAAAACCCAGTTAGCAATGGTAAATGAAAGAAGCGAGCTTCATCAGAGAATGAAGGAGGAGGTAGTTTGCTGAGGTATTCAAAATATGGAATTGAATGAAATGGACTCCTCCAATTATTTTCCTTTCTATTTTAATAACAGACAAAATCAAATAAATCAGTGGTATTTTCCCCTTCTCTCTGGCTCAGATGGTGATCAGTTATGATGCACAGACACAGGCAGGAGTGCTAGTGTACCAAACCTCCCCACAATGACCTTGCTTTTTTTCTGTCTGCTTACGTCCAATGAGGAGAGCGCTGGACCTCAGGAATCAGCACAGGGGTTAATACCATTTGCAGGTATAAAGAAAAATTTAAAACGCACCTCACAGAGAAATTTGAAATAAATTCACCTGCAATTTAAGAATGTGGCTGGATGAAAAAATAATCATCTGAAAATGTAGCAGTTCCTTAAAACCAGGGTTGACCTGAACATTTGAAAAAACACTTACTAGGATGCATGACAGTTTATTAACGTTAGAGTAGGTCTCCCTGATGATACTCTTGAAGGTGTCAGTAGTTTTTTTCAGATACAGGCTCCCTTTCATACTGTACATCTGGAGCTGCAGCTCCTATGCCCATACTAGCTGGTATAGAAAACGTGATAGGGTGCTTAATCCTTCTTGGCAGCAATGCTAATTTGGTGTTTGCATTGGTGTTTTGAACAAGTTTCCAACAGTTGCGACGAGGAATCACCTCAGCTTTAACAGTCTTGCATTCCAAGCGCCTTCAGCAGGAGCCACACAACTGCTCTTGGAGACACTGTGATTATTTGAATTTCAGATGCTGGCCAAGGGGCCTTGTTTTGATTCGAAATGCGCCAGTTGTTTCTTTAAGAGAGACGAAGGAGGAGAGAGAGAGAGAGGGAGGCCGGGACAGAAAGGGAATGAGGTCATTCTCTTTCTGAAAGGCTGATTCATTTCGCTTCAGAGAAACACACATGTAGTTAAATCTTCTCTCTCCAAAGTGAACAGCTGGCTGTAATTCCCAGTTGAAAACCTAACAGCAAGGCAGGCACTGTTAACCCACTGCAGGACAGCATACCTTTGCATGTTCAAATTTAAATATTGCAGGATTAGAAAACATCATTCCAGACAGGGACGGCACAGTGGTGCTGTGGTCAACATTGTTCCATTTCAGTGCTGGCGTCCTGGGTTCAATTCCCGGGATGCTGTCTGTGTGGAGTTTCTAAGCTCTCCCTGTATTTGTGTGGGTTTCCTCGGGGTGCTCTGGTTTTCTCCAACAATCCAAAAACAAAATCCTAGTAGGTTAATTTGTTCCTGGGAAAGCTGGCTCAGGTGTGAGTATACAGTCCGTGTTTGTGTTTGTGTCGATGCGTGTGCCCTGCGATGGACTGGTGTCCTGTCCAGGCTGGATCTTGCCTTGGACCTGTCCCATACTGACTCCAGTTCCCCCGTGACTCTGAATTGGAAGAAGTGATTAGAAAATGGATGGATGTTCCAGACAGAGGTGCTAAAATTTCCAGAATTTATTCAAAACATATACTGCCAAAGAAGGCAGAAGAGAAATGTTACTTATTCCAACTGACTCCATGTAGATTTATATAATGATCCTAGAGTGTTAAGGCATTTCATTTTTTTAATATTAAACAGTACTGAAATAAATTTTAACTTGTGGTTTTTGTGAACTATAAACTGACATCTATGTTAAAAAACCGACAAATTACTTAGAATATAGAATAATTGGGGTCTCCAGTTCCTTTCTGGAAAGGTCCAGTGTCCATAGGAATCCTCTTACTCACCTAACCTCAAAACATTCTCCTAGGTCAGGTCCAGAAATGGAGATCTGTGGTCCCGAAGAAGCCAAACAGTTTGAACAATCTCAAACCAGGACAGGACAAAGGAAAACCTATCAGACACTATGATAATAATACAAAAATAAATCATTAAACAAAATAAAAATAAGAGATTCTTTTTATAGAAAAAACTCCACCTCTGTTCTTTCTGGTAAGCATTTGGATAATGTTATTGCTGTGGACTGGGTGCACAGTGGGGCCAGTTTAAGCATTGTTTTCTTGCAACGCTGGGGACCTGGGTACAGTTCTGGACCCCGTGTGCTGTCTGCAGGGGGTCTGTATGTTCTCCCTGTGTTCACGCGGATTTCCTTCACGTCCTCCTGTTTCCTCCCACAGTCCAAAGACCATACTGGTGGGTTCATTGGCTTCTGGGAAAAGTGCCCCTGGGGTGAGTCTGTGCATGTCTGTGTGTGTCCTGCGATGGCCTGGGGTCCTGTCAAGGGGGCAGCCCGCTTTGCACCTGTTGCTTGCTGGGATAGGCTCCGGCTCTCCTGCGAGCCTGAATTGGATGATGCAGTTAGAAGATGGATGGATGGATGAACCAGATGATTTCATCCTGATCATGGATTTCAACAGCCTTGGCATCAAGACGTGCTGCATAAAAGGATATGTCATTCAAAACAGAGCAACAGGGGACATGCACAACAAGAAAACATGTCTTTGCCAATTGTGATTAATTAGTGGTTTAGCTGCACTGTTGCAATATCTCAAAACAAATAGATTTGGCTTCTCAATTTATTTTAATTAACCAGAGAAAGAATATTTATCAGCAATCTTTTGGGACCCATATGCTTCACAGATGATTTTTATAAAAAAAAACAAGTTAATGTTGGAATGAGATGCTTGGCACACTTGTGAGCTTAGTTGGAGAAATATGTTGATGTGTGCAAGTCCAAAAGTCCTTTAATGGGGTTCAAAATACTTTTAAAAAATGCAATTTACCAGCCTGCAGTGAAGAGAGAGAAAACTGACAAATAAAGTACCGTATTTTGTTCAGCTTTAGAATGTTAGGTCATTATTTGTTTGTATTTGACATAACAGATGAACATCTCTTTTCTGAACTGCTCTTGCAAAGCTGCTTTAAGAGAAACGTGTCAAGGATAGCTGAAATAAATCATAATCTGCTGCTACATCTGAAAGGAGAAAAAGAACTGAAGTACCAGTGGTTCCAGATTATGGCTGTTTTATGGTCACCAAAACATGAAACAGTGCCACTCCCAAACTGTGTGTGAAGGCGCCGGCAGCTTGCAGAACCCCCCCACGGGCCAGGCTGGGACCATCCCGTCCAGAGAGCCTGCAGCCCAGAACCGCAAGAGCCAGGCTTAAGAGCGCCCCCTGCCTGCAGCCGCTGGGCAGAAAGCACTGTGCCAGAGGCGGGGAAGATGGCCAGGCCACCGGTCAGCGCCAGCCTGAGCCCCTTCACTGACCACTGCCAGCCACTGCGGGCGCCGCAGAGCCAATATGCTGGAGGTCAAGGGACTCGTGCAGCCCGCCATCGAGGGGGAACCCCCGAAACTACCGGAGAGGGGCCCAACACCCAGCCCCCCACTGGACAGCAGAGCCCTCCACTCCGGGGCTTAACGAGGTCAGTCGAGCTCCCCCTGCACCGCGGCCCGATCCGCTCCGGGGTTCTCTGGCACCGCTTGAGCAGGAGGCTCTGCAGTCCAGCCTGCTGGCTCTGGGTAAAGCCTGGAGCTGTCCCTGCTGTCCCTGCTGTCCCCCAGTAGCGTGAAGCTGGCTACACTAAGCGTCACGAATGATCCGGAAGTGTACGCAAATAGCCGAATTTCAATCAAAGTAAAAGACTTTCAGCTACCACAGTAACATATGAGGAGTATAGCAACATTAGCCGAAGTGACAAGCAGCTGAAACACCTGCTTTGTTATTTCTTCATGGTTAACTGATTCCTCAAATTTGAGCTCAAATTCAGCTCAAATTTGAGAGGGTTCTTTTTTTCATTTTAAATCGCCTCCACTAATCTCCACGTTTGACAAATCTAATATTATTAATTTTTTATTAATTTTACAGCACCTTTCTTCCATTTATACTACTGTAAAATTTGTCATTGCTATATTTTTTCATAGAAATGTTTTTTTTCTGTTCAGTGAAAAGGGTTTAAAGATGCAAGCTTTTAAAGGAGCTGTATCTGTTCAATTGTTTTTTTTAACTAACCAGGGACAAAAACGTTTTTTTGCACCACCAAAAGTGGTGAGACATACAATGTTAAGACAGTCAGCCACCAGCAAATCACCCTTCTTCATTCCGTTTCAAGTCTTTATTAATATTGTTGGTCTGGGTGGATCACCTCTAGAAAACTGCAGTGCACAATTGGATGGGGAAAATTTGTGCCTCTCCAAAGGTGGGTGGAATCTATTGCACAGACCCTCAGCTAATAGAAAATCACCTTGTTTTTGTCAGATAAGTGTCTTTGCTAAAGCTGCTGGGGTTTATAGAGCACCTCCCATTCCCAGACTGGGACCGTGCAGTGATGGTGCAGGGAGTGGTCTAACTCCCCTCTCAGCCACACAAAAATCTGTGCCACTTCAAAACTATTTCAAATCTATTCTACAGATCCTCAGCTAATAGGACATCACCATGGTTTTCTCAGAGAAGTGTCTCTGCTAAAGTTGCTGGGGTTTATAAGACCACTTGCTGTTCCCAGACTGGGACCGCGCAGTGATGGACAGGGAAAAGTGTCAACAACAACCGTGATCCCAACCAAAGTAATGCCGACATTGAAGATCATAGTATTGCGGCCAAAACCAATTAGGCCTTTTGCTCCACACCAAGCATCTCACTGGACAAACAGCAGCAGTAATAAAGTCAATATTTGCTAAAGAGTTATAAGAGGATTATGTGGGCCATGATAGAGGTGCCTGGAGATGCAGACTGCTCAGCAGGCTCTGGCCTTTGATCTGGGAGATTAGAAGCAGCCAGGTGGATTAATTCTCCACCCTTCTCTCCTCCCCACAGAGCCACAAATGACACCTAGGGGGTAGAGGAAAACTTATTCAATTATTTCCTAAGAAGACAATTAGTACCTTGTTTTTCTTTGTTGCAGTTTTTCTCTCCTTTTTCCTGACATCCAGAACAACAAACATTGCTTTCAACTGGCTGTTAATGGAAGCAAAATTCTCAAAGATTCCAACCTGATGCCTGCCAAGCAAACAGTGCAGTGTCGTCATGGGGAAAGGTAACAGTTACACTTCATGCCAGGAAACATGTTTCAGGTGTGAGCATCCGGAAAATGCTCTGCAGCCGAAACGTTGTGCTTCTTTTTTTTTCTACTTCACAGCGTGAAATTAACTTCTACCTGTCCCTTCACAACTAACACACATTGGCACAGATCCCCACTCAGACATCTACAATTGTTACACTTAATTGCATTTTACTAAGAGTGCACTGAACAAACATTTTTACACTGCACAAGATAGATGTTAATATATTTGATTGTATAAGCTATGGGAGAAAACTGTCACAGGTGTTGTGTTACTTTTTCTTCTGCTGGTAAGGATTGTTTTACTGTATGAAACCAAATCCAGATTGTCAAGCAAACCTGAAGTATTCACTGTGAAATTGGTGTGTAACGACCACATTTCTGCATCAAAGCTTTGTTAAAAAGATGTCTCATGGAATTATCTGACAGGATTTTAACTTTATTTCCATGTGTCTCTCTCTTTTTTGAAAAATTATACTTACCCGTTACATGTTTCTATAACCCTGATTCTTTTATATACACAAATAGAAGATTATACTATATAATTATATTATACTGTATTCATGCTATAGAAATAAAACTGAACTATTTTGATAGTGATCTCCCAAAAAAGGAGAGAAAATAAAATGTCCTATGTCACGTTTTTAGAAGACATACCTACAGATGATGTGGTTGCATTACATAATTATCTAAAGAAGAGACAAAAAACACAATCACTGTACTGCAGAAATACTGCACAGCTGCACAAATACTGGTAGAAACATTAAGCTCGTGTGAGCCTAGTTTGATTCAGTTTTTGAAGGGAGAACGGATGTGTAAGCTACTTGTTTTTTTCAAACCCATCCCATTAATGTTCCAGACCACACAGACTACTCCGTTACAAAGGATATTTGTACAACCTCATGAGGCAGGAATTCATGGACAAAGGAAATTGTGTGCCGCTGCACTATTCCCCCAATTCTGGTATGCCTCAGGTAGACAAAACAGCAGTATTGACTTGTTCAGTGAAACAATGAATGAGAGCAAATCTGTAATGAGTTGCCTCTAGCACACTCTGCCTTAATGTGCAGGTGCAGTCACACTTATTGCTTATTGTAAGTATTCTATCTTGACAATTCACTTAGGGTGTATTGTACTGCTACTTACAGAAAAAACGTGTTTTTTCTGCTGTAAACCTTTGTCCCGTTATATAATGATTAAACACATGGCGAAGAGCCGAGATACTCTCCAGAAGCTCAATACTACCATCTTGTGGTGAACATGGTCCGTGACGACCGAATTTCAATAAAAAAGCTTCTACGGTTCTAACTTCTGTCGATAGCATTTTATATTTTGTGTTGTGATTGAATGAGTGCACATGGTGTGGAACAGAGCGGGTTTTTTTACTTTGTTGAAACTGACATGACACACATACTTCTGATATCCATATCTTGCATACAATGTTTGTAGATATTGTTTATAATATAAGAACAGGTTAACTTACCTTCCAACTACTACAAATTTACTGGTCATGTTTGCGTAGCAGGTACGCTGACACTGCGATGAACAGATCTGTGGGGTCGGTTCACCATGCCCATTAACGTTGGTCACTAACAGAGGGTCTCCTGTGAAAGTCACTGCTACAGTATGAAGCCAGCATCACAAGCTGCGCATCTGCGATGTAGGCTTCGCACCAATCTGGTCTTCTACTCCATCCCATTGCTCTGGTAAAACTTACGTCTTACAAATCGGCATCACGATTTATTTCTATATTCTATTGGGCAGATATTCTATTCAGCACACCAGCACATGCTAATTGGGTGAAGTAGTGGAGAACAACTCAAACATCAAATTGTTTCAAATGAGAACATTTGCAGTCTACCCTTTAGTGGTTGAAAGCCATTGGGTGTGAAATGGCACCTGACCTAACACAGCTAATTCAAATGGTTGCAACCCTACACTCTTGAATGCCTGTAAAGCATCAATAGGTTCTCTTTCCAAACTCAGTTTGCAATTAGCTTAACTGAACCAGATAAACACTTCTCAATGGTCTTCAGCACTTGATCTTAAAGAGACCTAAAAGCAGCTCTGGACGACTGTAGTGCACTTAAAATGTATAGGCACTCGCTCCAGAGAACAGGTTGAGGCCTGTAACACCAACATCTCCAGTTCATGTAAGGTCCTGTTATTGGTCAACAATGAGTGGGATTTCCCATGCAGTGGTTGAATGTCACTGGGGTCAAAAGCTTTCATTGGTCAGGGGTCCTCTGGCTTTCACAGTGACCAGCAACCTTTGGCCCATAGCCAAGTGCCTGCAGGCTTATAGTGAAGATGGGGAGACGGCTGTCTAATTGGAGAGCTGACGTGCACCCTGTCCGTGTTCGATACAGTGCATGCTCCGCTTTTAAAGCGCAGAACTCACCAGCTTGTTTTGGTCATTGAACTGTACTATTTATTGGTCTATACTGCTTTGCGCCCAGTTATCATATAGAGCAATTTTGAATACAAACTGCTGTGGAGGAAGGCACCAGCTAAATGTAGAACTGTTGGAGGAAGAGACTGCCATGTTCTCATTCTCCTCTAACAATAAAGATGATGCATCTGGAAAGCACAGTTAAAATGAGGACTTTCATTCTGACCAGAATGCAGCAGCATAATTAATACCTTCACAGCTGATGACGATTCCTCATGCCTGACCAGGAAACTGAATAAGGACATTATCCCACAGTTCTAAACAGAAAACAATGTCAGATTTAATCCTTCCAAGGACCTCCATTGGGCAGTGACTATTTCACCGACTGCAATTTAACCTTATTAGAAAGACAAAGACACCGCCCACACAGAACTTGCACTTTTCAACATTTTTAATAAAGGAAATAAAGGTTGGAATAAAGCGGGGAGGGTTGATACAGTTTAAAATAGAAAAAAAACATTAAACAGCTTGTCACAAGGTTACACAACACCTTCCACATTTTTTTATTATTAAAAAATAAATCCTGTATTCAATGGGAATTCTTCAAATGCACATTACTTCAGTATGGTCTGTCACGGCGCTCCTGCCGGTGCTCTCCTCTGCAAACCGAAGGATGAAAGGAGTGGTCAGTAATCCAGAATGGCCTTTTAAAATCCCTACACTCGCCTGTATTTAGGCCCGTTAAATTGCACAGAAAATTTGCCAGGCCTTCCCCAGCTAAATTTTTACAATCCAAACCTTACCAATACCGAAGGCAATTTCTTCACAAGCATTTCCTAATGGCAGGAACGCCGAGGTAAAGTCAAATCATAGGCCATTGACAAACATGCATGTCTAGATGCAATGAGCAGCTTGCGCTCTGCAACCTATGGGATCTCATTCTATGCCTTTCTTGGCAAACACTTTGATGAAAATGGCTGCTCACACTATGCTGAACTCTGCAGTTGCTTGCCTGTTACACCTTGCACTTTGGGGAAACAAGTTACATCCAGTTACATCCACTCTTGTCCTTTGCTGCTGTGTCATACAATTCAGTTAACCTGAAAGTTTGGATACATGGTCATTCATGAAATGCGATGTTATTAGTAGAGAGAGAAAACATCTGCAAAGGCGCTCTGGAGAACACATCACCTTCAGCGACACACGGTAACTTACTTAATCTCCATTTTGCCAGGAGCTCCGATGCCCCTCCTGGCGCCTCTGCTGCCCATCTGGTCCATAGGGGGGGGACCACCTCGCCGGCCGCCTCCAAAGCCTCCCCTGTCCATCCCGCGGCCCCCTCGAAATCCACCGCCTCGATCCCCGCCCCGGCCGCCCCGGAACAGGCCGGGCCCCCCGCGGTCCATCCCCCTGCCGCCGCGCATGCCGGGGCCTCCCCTGCCGCGGTCAGCTCCTGCGGAAGACCGAGCACTCTCAAGAGGCGGAGGGGTGGTGCTCATGCGCCACCTTCACACCGCTCTAAAAAGGATGTGCAGTACATCTGGGTACAAACTGGGAGCCTAAGCTATTAGCAAGGCGAACCTCTGTCGTATGAAACGTTTGCTGTGAATCAAGTATAAGGAATCTTTACCTGGTGGGGGAAAGGGAGGTGGGATAAAGCCTTCAGGTTTTGGAGCTTTGCACTGATTACATTCCATTCTCCACGCGAAGTTCTGGTTGCCACAGCCACTGAAAAAGAGTCAGATAACACCCCTTTACCCAACACACAGTTACATCAACGCATGGGTTAGCAGCTCTTGTATTTAGTGGGACTGATCTGAGCCACCCATTTCCCTGGTAGGCAGCACTGTTGGGATACAACACCTTTAATTAGGTCAAGTCAAGATTCTCGCATGGTGAAGCTTGAGGATACAAAATATGTATTAAGCACAGTAGAAGCTGCAAAGGAAATTCAAGACTCTATAAATAATTGGTGGATGTTTAAGACTACAGATATAAAATGGAAATGGCTCGACCTGTGCTACTTATGAAAAAGATGTTTGTATAGACATCTTCTCAACAATGTGGGGAAGCAACAAAAAGGGAAATCATGATTGAAGAATTGTTAAAGGCATATGAATTGACAATCAACGCAACAGACTTAGAACCAATAGGGTTAAAATCAGAGATGGGTGTAAAGAGGAAACCAAATTGAGATAATTTATTGACACTGATGGATAAATAAACTACCAGCAAACAAGCTAGGTGGTGCAATCTTTATGTTCGACTAGACTGCGATGAATGGCCGATGGCGGCGACGCACATTTCAAAGGCACTCGAGAACATCTGACCGGTTTATTCGGCGCGATACTCACGGGTTGGGACACTGCCAGTCTCCAGCTCTCTGCTGCATGTTGCTCCCCAAAGGGCCGCCCCGTCCACCTCCACGAGGCCCCCCGCGGGGCATGAAGCCACCCCTGTCAGCGCCCCGGCCCATCATGCCTGTCAGGAACACCACAGCCATCAGCACAGGACACACGAGAAACGGCTCCTCTGAGCCCCGCTTGAAGGCAACTTGCAGCCCCACGTCCAGAGTGGTCAGAATGTCAACACTGACAGTTTGGTCACATGCCCATTCTCTTGCATCCCCACACACCTCCACACCCCAACGCACCTCTGCCATCTCGGGGGGGCATTCCTCCATGCATCATTCCCACCACGGCCTTCCTCCGGGCCATGGACACCTTCAGCTTCTTCCCTTGGAACTCTTTGCCTTGGAAGTAAAAATAAACAAGGTCATCAGTGGCTCAGTACAAGGCACCAGCTCCAACCAGGAGTCCACTGGTACAAGAAAACACAGTAAACCCTCTCCCTACATATCCACAGATAACCGGGAATAAACTGCCCATCTGCACAACCCATCCCATCTTGCCACTTAATACTCAATTCTAAAGTATCCATGTTGAGTGCAATCAATCTGCACTTGAAAGAGTATGCACTGCATACAAGGGAAAGCTCACTGACAAATGCAGAACAGCATCCCCGTTAACATGTTCTCTTGCACCAGGAAAACGTCAACACAGCAACATTTTATACCATAAAGATAACCTACCATCGAACCATTCAACTGCAGATTTGGCATCTGGGGGATTTTCATAGGAGAGTGTAGCATCACCCTTTGGCTTTCCCGTTTCCTTGTCGGTATAAATGTTAATTGCAGGCTGGCCTGTCCTTTTGTTTATCTGTTGAACAAAGTGCTGGTTAAGTCAGAACACTCTAGCCCTTGTCAATTATGGTCAAGCATGTAAGCAAACCTACAAGGAGTTAAAAGTTCATTTACCTAAAGAAAACTATAGAGGCTCTAAAATGTAAAAATCTATTTTAGCAGATGCACTGGAACACAGAAAATGAAATGGTCACCCACCAAATATGCACCCATTACTAGTTCAACAGGCAGATTTGTAAAAATACAGAACAAAAAAATATACAAACCCTAATGATTCCACAATAATTAAAGAACTCTGCAGCTTCCTCCAAAGTTACACTTTCAGAAAGCCCAGTAATATAAATGGTACTGTTTTCAGAGTCATCTATTTCTTCTGGAACAGCTGTAAAAGAAAAATATGACCTTAATACACTAGCACTCCACACCCCACAGTGGAGAAAGATTTTCAAACATTAGTCTAGCAACGATTTATGTTCTGAAACTTAAAATTACAAGACATATTAAGGTCACTTCCAATTTTTCTCATTTATATTCCTGACAGGTACATTTATCAAACGAGTTAACACCAAGCTTTAAACTTCAAACACATGCAAGGAGAAAATGCAAATTACCCATATCTGGCTTGGGTCCATCATTCATGGGTCCTACTGGTCACAAACAGGAAAGAAAACACAGAGAAAAGTTAAGAGGGCGCTGGTTAACACCACTACCTAAATAAACTATCTATGCGTTTACCCAGGCACACTTGCTCTTCTGAGCTCTCGCTGAAATAAGGAATGAAACCTTTGGGCATTCAAGGTTTAATATTTTTGCTTCTTTGTTGTCAAGACACTTAATGATTAAGATAGAGTTCAAAATACCTTCATTAAAAGTACACAATCTATAAAATTACTCTACAATTTTTCAATACCCAGTTAATAAAAGGCGTGCCATTTTTAAGAAGTGGTTCCAAAACACATGAAAACCCATTTCTGAATTAAAAACCAGGGGTTCAAATTGGACTCCATCCTAAAGTGAGGGGCTTTTAACTATAAACACATTCCTCTTAGAACTAAAACACAAATGCCCTTTTCAGAGATTAATTTCTCATTGTGAAACAGTGTACTTTGCAATGCATGGTTTCCTTGGTTGTGACCGATTTACTCTAGGAGAATTACCCCTTGCGTTCATTACTCTTACCTTGCCCAGAGGGCCTAGCTTGAACCCCTTATTAGACCCAACGTTTATGGCCGGCAGTACACTTCGTAATTAAAAAATATTGTACACCACTGCAAGTGCTTACTCTTAAAAGAGGTTTTACTCTAACGCTTTTGCTTGTCTTACTAGCCAGTGTAATACTCATTAACTTACCACCAGGCTTAATGAAGCCACCTCTGTCTCCAGCGATGCTGGGGAAATAAACGAAGATATGAAGGCGACTTCCCTTACAGAGCCAGTTCCATACCTCGAGCCCAGGGAGCTCGCTTGTGGGGGGATGACACAGTTCTGGCTAGATCTCTCAACAACCCCCAACTGACAGGTTTACAAAGGCTTATCTATTTACATGTGGAGCTTATCTTAGGCAGGGGCAGTGGGGTTGTTGGGTTTCCAAGATCCATTCAGGCCCTTCTTCGAAAAAAAGGGCTGGGGGCTGTGCTTGGACAGTTTGAGGTTTGGGTGGGTGCTGGGGAATGGGGGATAGTCTTTATTACCATTTGGGTTTAAAACCCTGCATTTCATACAGCACAAAAGAACGTATTATTTCAGATGCAGCTCTTTCGTACTCCACCTGCTAACAAAGTATCAAGTACTGCGGATCGTTTTGGAACTGAGGTTCAGCCACCATATTCCCATACAATACCCAGAGAAAAAACAAGTGGGAAAGTACCAATGACGGAGTAAGACCAAATTTAGGACCGCAAGTATGCTGCGAAACCCAGTTAAATGTAATGTAAATGTAAGTTAAATGTAAACCCATCCAACACATACCAGGAAGCATTATTAGGGCATGGTGCCATCTATGAGGATGCCGAGATGCCCAGCATGAGGGTAAATACAAAAGAACTGCACCAGAAATGATCATATTACAATGTAAGCTGATACATGCAGCTTTTAAAATGAAAATACACACCAAATACACTTTTATACAGAAACGTTCAACTAAAGTTACACAATTCTAAAATACAAAAAACCTTCCATCATATAGAACCATATTACAATAGCAATAAAGGCATTTAAAAATACATTTTGGAAGATACAGTTTCACAGTTCACACTTTTAAAGACATCTCTCCAGCTATACGCAGACACCGATTCGCTAAGTCCCACTTTCATTATGCTGCCGGCTCAGTACTGAGTACAGGTACTTTTAAAGTATTGATGTGTATACATGGCTCTCACTTTGTAACCTGTAGCATATAAATGCGACAAAGCATGTTAAAAAGTGTTCACGTTAAAGAATAATTCGAGACAAAACATAAGCAATCCAAATGAATGTCAAAACCACAATCTTATTCTCCTTACCTGTGCAAGGATAAAAGGTGAAAGCATTTGATTTCAAAGCTAATAAAGGAAACCCAGAAAAGTTCCCCCCCTTCACTGACCCTTTCCAAAACTAACCTAATCAAACCTGTTTGGCTAAAATTAATCCTTAGAAATATCTATACTACAACTGGCTTGGTTTGCCTAGCAGGAAGTAACCAATATCATAGTTTGAGTGTTATTTAAAACAAAATCTGGTTCACTGTCTGGATACCCAGCAGAAAGAAACTTGAACTTTGGATAGAAATCAAAATCTTAAAAAAAGCAGAAGCTTTGCTAAACAAAAACAATGGGAAGTTTTATGTTTCCCAGACCTGGTCTTTAATTGTCGTGAGTCAGGGTGTGTTCAAACCAGCAGTACAAGACTTGTAGAGAAGGGGGATAAATTGGTTCCAATTACACTTAATTTGATAAAATTAAAAAATTTTCCTCAGAATTTTAATATGGTAATTTTATTCACATCATTAAGAACTTAATTAAGAAGATCTGTAGAGTTTGGCACTCTCAAGAATAAGGTTGTAGTTGAAGTTATAATTGGTCCTCAAACATATCAGTCAGCTTTTCATTAAACCTCTTCTGTTACCATCAATCATTTAATGACTGGCTCAACTGGACCAGTTTAACCACTACACCGAGCTCTTCAGTTATATAGAGCTGCAGACACACCAGTCCTCCAGAAACAAGATTAGAATAGGCTTGTCCAGAGTGTAGGGTCAAAGATATGATAAGGAAGGAGGCAGAGACCAAACAGGCATTTTGGACAAAGGGCAAGACGAAACGTTCATCAATTGGGTACCTTCATAATGCTTTCACCTCTTTAACCACAAAAATGGCATTTTCCACAATTTCTAAGCATTTGAGGATAAAGGTGTACCGTTCAGGAAGCCCCATCACTATCGTCAAATATTTAGTTTAACTTTATCACAACAAATACTTATTCATTCAGGTTTGTTAACACTTCTCTACAGAATGTATTTTAGGGCACATACACTCTTCTTACTCCTGAAGCGGTTTCACCTGGTATTTACCCAGTTCTGCATTACATACAGAAACTGTTTACAACATGCAGGATGCTATAGGAAACCAGATGTGATCTTTGACCACAAAGCTGAGAATATCTTCCGGAAATACAGCTCCAGAATCCTCAGTACACAACTTACCTGAAAAGCAATTCCTGAAAACCTATTATAATAAGGCTAAGCTGTAAATATTGCCACCACGATTTTTAATTAACGGCTGTTTTAATCATCAACCCATTCAATTTTGGCATTGTGTTATAGCATCCTGCATATATAAAGTGTTTTGGTCATTTGAAGCTACCTGACCATTACATCTCTTAAGCTGAAAAAACAGCAGTTAGAGAACCTTATAAAATCAGCCTTTAGGCCTAAGCCTTTAGTTTGCCTAAAGCACATTTAGCATGCTTGCTCCAGCTCCTCAACCAAACAAATTAGAATTACCTTTTGACCTTTGGCCTTACTGACTGCAGGGCTGAAAACACCGCATGTGAAAAATGTCCTGAATTTCTACCTTTTCAAGGTCTGGCCAAAACAATACTCTTCATCCAGAAGAGCGTGGAAAAGAATTTGAAGATGTGAATGGATGAAGTTAACATGGCAATTTTAAAAGTAATGAAAATTCAAAAGATGAGAACTACAGTGTTTTTAGAAAGCCCACTTTCAGATAGCTCCAATTAAAGCTCATATCCAGGTGAGCTTTATTAAAACCAGTTGTATTTCTGCTATCTACTGCCATGTGTGTGAATTCAGAGACCAGTAATGTGTGCAGTTTTCAGCCCTGTCTCATCGGTCCCTGTGAGGTGAAAGAAGGCTGAGTGAGAAAACGAAGGCGTTTCCTTACCCCATTCCTCCTCGGCCCATTCCCCCTCTCCCTCCTCCTCTGATCATGACACCCCTGTCGAAGCCGCCTCTTCCACGGCCACGGCTATCTGCCGCGCCCATACCGCGGCTCTCCCCCAGGCCTGGGAAACCGCCGGGCTCCGGCCCGGAGAAGCCACTGCGCATGCCGCTGGGGTGCTCCTGCCGGTAACTCCCTGCGGGACCGGGGGAAACCAGCAGAACAGTCAGCTAACGGACGGTCTCTCCAACACCTTACAGGAGATTTGATTTTCATAACATGAGGCCTGACAGAACCGGGCAGTCCGACCCAGTCCCATACATTCCGGTTTGGTTGTTTGAAGTTACCGTTTTACTTTTGAATAAGAATAAGAGAGCAAAGCAGATTTTTATATTCTGAAGTTTGAAGAAAGGGTACTGGTACCACCTAGTATACACTGTGTTCTGATCACAGGCTGAATGTCTCAAAACACCGAACAGGTTTCCCACGGGAGCCACCCTGGAAGGCAGGTGCAGAATCCCATCGGGTGCAACACACTGGAAAAGGAGGGATAAGAAGTGTACGATACCTTTATTGTACTGGCTGGGGGGATTATAGTCACTTTGCTGCCCGTAAGTGCTTCCGGCCTGCTGGCTGTACTGATTAGGAGGCGGCTGCCCATAGGAGCTGGACGGGGGAGGGTAACTTGTTGGTGGTGGTGCCTGCTGCTGCGGCGGCGGCGGCTGGTAGCTCCCCTGCTGGCTGTAGGAGCCCTGCTGGCTGTAGTTTCCTTGCTGTCCATACCCCCCTTGCTGGATGTAACGGCCAGGCTGGGTGTAGGTATTCTGGTCATAGCTGGAGGGTTGGGTGCTGGCACTGTAGCTATAGCAATGAAAGACATGAACTGTTAGTGGAAGCCTGCACAGCAATAAAGTACAGAGACTAAAAGAAGTATGGGGTGGGGGGGGGGAAGACTGTTAAATGCAGCCTGTCCACTCCTGAGTTCTGCATAATCCTGTTAAGGAAAATCTTATACTATGAAAGTCTGCCTGGAACAAAAAGCAAGGCAGGGGCTCTACATTAATGCATCTCCTGTAAGATGAAATACGCTTTCACACTTTAACGACCAAGCTATAGCCTTTCTAAAAAGTGAAAACGGTTTATAAATCAAATACAAAAAAAAAGGTCTTTAAAATTGGTCCACTTTCCAATATAGTTTAGGAATGAAAGCACAGTATTCCCCATAACAGGCTTTGCATTATTTATAGTTTACTGCTGTACATGCCAAAAATAACACCACCACACTCCTTGAGAGGTTAAGCCGCCGTTTTAAGAATGAGAGGAAAATGCAAAGATGTAGAGCCTTCCCCTAACTAAGCCAAGACGAGATTGTTAAAATAAACAACCTCCAGTACGGAAACAAGCACCACTGGTCTACCTTACCTGGAGCACCAGGAGCTGCCTGCCGGGATAATTACCTGGTTGAAGCATAGGAAGCCTGGGCACTGCCTGACTGCAGAGGGTAAGAGCCAGGCACCTGGGGATAACCGTAATTATTCTGGCTGTACCCCAGATTGCCTTGGCTATAGCCGGGAGGGTTAGACTGGCCTGGGGGGGTCTCCTGTGGCTTGCTGACCTCCTGTGCTCTAAAAGTTAAATTTAGCAGTCAGGTTATAAGCTCCTTTTACCAGGAAATACAAATATACCATGAATGTACCTTGCATCAAAACAAAGTTCACAAAGGTTTTTAAGTTTACTGGAAATAGGCTGAAATTAACTTGAATCCCTTTAAATATCTACTGTCATTTTAAGGATAGACCAATGGGTACTTTATATTCTCCACTTATAAATTTGGAGAACATGATCTTATTTTGGGGAAACCACTGTCCCATTACCTTAGTAAACAAAAAAATTTGGATTTCAAGCTGATGCCTCCGCAAAGGAACCTGCCTGTTTAATCCTGTAAAATGTTAATTTATATACAAAGTGTCTGACAAAATAGTTTAGTAAATGGATACATCAAAGAATCCAGACAAGTGCAAAGAAAAATTCAAAGAGAAAAATAAAGATAACCTCTTTCCTATTAGTTAAAAAACTGCAGGCGGACTGGTATTTGTTAGTTTTTCTACAGGGCTTTGATATAATAAAGCAAGTGTCCCCTAAAGCAGGTTACAGCACTGATGGCTGTTAATGTGTGCAGCGCAGACGTTCACATTTGTGCCATTAAAGCACAGTATTTCATAAACGACTGTCCTTATAACATCTTCATAACCAATGGAAAACTGAATGCAATGTTCTGTTGCTACCTGTAATAAAAGATTAAATGGTATAATATGTTATGTTATAAAGAACATCAAAACACCTTTCCCAAAACATTTTAAAATCCATAACATTTAATTAAATCAAAGCTTCATTAAATTGAACATGAACGGGCTGGATTAATGTTTCATGAGTACTTGAAAAGCAATAAAGTCACATTATTTGCAATCAGATGCCAAACTAAGAAAGCCTACCAAAATTGCCAATCGGGGTTAAAGTCCTTAAAATCACTCTGCAGTCGTTTCAAAGTTTAAAAGCTACTCTGAACAACATTTTCTCAACACTTCATGTAGAGTCCAGAAGCACTGCGACATCAGCCAGTTGTCAAAAAGACAAACCAAAAACACAAGACATGAATGGTATAAACGACAACTAAAACTAAGTTATATATATTGCAAACTGAATCCAACTGATTAAACATCTTTCTAGCAGTGAAAACCTGTTAAATACCATGAGTCACGAGATGCCATTCACACATGAAGAATCGCCTTAATGTTTACAGAACCAGCTGAGCCCCAACACTTAAATATGAAGAACAGCTGAACCAGGATCACAGACCTAGTCCACTACATTTAGAAAAAGTAAAATTTAAAAATGCAAAACAATATTCGCAGTTTTAGATTTACACCACCTACAAACACTTATCCGCTTTGTTAACCAAAGTCCATCACGGTTTATCTGGAGAAACCCAAATATAACAGAAGATGTTATTGACTAAATATCCTAATTTCTTACAGCTCCAGCAATAATATATACATTTTCCAGGGAATGCAAGACAAGACATCATACAACCTTCAGGAAAAAAAAGATTTTAGAAGTCACTATATAAAAGAATGTGAAGAAATGCATCATGTGCAAGGAAAGGGTGTACGAGTGTAAATGAGTGTAATAAACGCAACACGGACAGAAGTCTTCAGATCAGGGAAAAGACCACGAATTACCTGGAAGGAGCAGCAGAGCCCGGCTGCTGACCATAGCCAGGGTAGGTCGGCTGGGCACCATAGGCCGGCTGAGTGGCATAAGAGGTGGGAGTCGTAGTCGTGGTGGCAGCGGCGCTCGTGGTGTCGTATCCACTCGCCCCATATCCCTGAACAGGCTGACTGTAGCCTTGCGGAGCTGTGGGGGCTGCACTGTAACCTGCTAGAGATTGAAAGTTTAACAGAGTGGGTCCACAAATCCCAAGTCCACAGGACAGCTCAAAGAGTGAAATAATCATCACATGTCTCGACTTGAACCTGGTGATACATGGCGTACATGTATTGTAACATCTCTCATATAGGGACACTGAATTGTTTAGACCAGGCACATGAGGTTATTTGCTGGACAAAACAGTAGTTCCAATACTACAATTTGAACCTTTTCTAAATCAATTTCTGAAGAGTGGTATGAATCATGCACAAACAATTCAGTTTAAAATGACTAACAAACCAACTGTAGGAAGCCCTTTAAGATTTGCATGACTGTTAAATATGATGCAGCATGGTTACACAGCTTGAAAATTGCAACTCTGGAGGAGCAGTGTCATTTAGACAAGACATCACAAGAGATATCCTAAATCCTTTGTTAAAGAAAGTTACAATTATGTAATTTCTGAAATGCAACAATAATTTAACAGCTTTAAACACAACTAGCCATCTCAAGTTCACACTGACCGACTTCAATGTCAACCATTACTCAAAAGGCTCCCACAAATTTCAGATGCAGTGAAATGGGGAAACAAATCCATGCAAAAAAAATGTCATTGCTCAAACCTGTAGTATTCCCTTCTGCTTTGAGGTAGCAATCACAGAGGAAGCAGAGGGTAAATTAGAATGTGACATTTGAAGAACTATTTGCAATTTAAATGTACTATAATACAACTTGGAAATAAAATCCCAGCTTGTAAAAAAAAAGACAGCACTCCAAATATTTTCAAATACTCAAAGAGTGAAATGTAAGGACTCCCAACTATCAACTAGTAAGAAAAAAGCACATAACACATTTTAATATAATAACAAGAAAGATTACATACACAATTAAGACTATCAAAGAACTAAGAATAGCAATAAGCAATAAGAATGTCTGAATTTATCCCGTAGTATTTAAAGTTAAAACTAATTTAACATACTACAGCATTCCACTTAAAAGTAACAGGTGATGAACACCATGACCTGTCCAGTATATATTTGCGTATCTTGTACTCTCTAGATCTTTTTCCTTCGGTATTGTGCAGTAAATTTATTAACATATTAAACAAAATAATACACAATAAAGTATTTTAAATTGAACTGAGAAATAGACCCATGTTCAGGACTTACCAGGAGGTGGCTGCCCATAGGATGTGCCATAGGCAGTCTGCCCATATGCCCCAGCAGAAGACCCTGTCTGTGTGTAGGAGGAATCACTGGGCTGGCCATATGATCCATACCCCTGTTGACCATAGCTCTGCAGAATACACATTTATCAGACCAGGTGTGCAAGACACATTCATCCCAGAACTCCTCCAAGATCAAACAAAATAACATTCTGAAAATCACCTTGACAATTTAAACAGTACATCTTAATCCAAATTCTAACCACAAAAACATGCAGCACAATTAACCAGCGAATACTGTCCGGTACACGACAAACTGTTTAACAGTCAGATGGAAAATACTGTTAATTTTCACTACATACAAATGGCAAAATACTATATTTCTCCCTCTAGTTACTTGCAACCGTGAAAAATATTCCTATTACTTGCAAGCTATAAATGTAAAAGTGGGGTCAAGAAGAGCTACTTCCTCGTAGTGACCTCCAGGCAATGCAATGCTTACCAGTAATGAATTGTACTACGCAAGAAGAAAATAACCAAGGGTCTTTCAAGAACCTACAGGTCCATGTATCCTGCAAATCAACGTGGAAGGCCTAACTAGAGCCAAATGCGTGGTCATCAACCACCTGGCTCAAGAGCATAACGCTCAAGTGATCCTTCTTCAAGAGACTCACACCAAAGAAGACAACAATATCAAGATATATATATGGTTACCACCTCATAGGTGCCATACATCATGCACACCATGGAGTGGCTACCCTAGTAAAACTTGACAAAAATGCAAAGCACGTAGCCCAATCACCGGACGAAGATACTACACAGTGCACTGCTATTGAAATAAAAGGCTTTACTATTGTCAACATCTACAAACCACCTAGTACCCAGTTCTCCAGTCTTCCAAGCTACACGCATCCTGTCATCTATGCTGGTGACTTCAATTGTCAACACACCAACTGGGGCTATCGAAAGAACACACCAGAAGGCGAGGCCCTAGCCAACTGGGCATCCATTCGAGGTTTAACTCTGCTGTTTTTCGTGCGTTTCCCAAAACCCCTCTTAATCGGTAATTTAACGAGCCAGTATAAAGTACTTCTTTGTTAACCCCGCCCCTGAAGTCGCTTAGCAAAAAGCATCACAATTTGATTGAAAAACAATCGATTGACAATTCTTTCATTATATGGTGTCGGTTTTGGTCCTTCAGTGGGATGAAATAAAGTTGTGAAAAGGAATATGAAGCAAACATAACATAATTTAACAACCATTTAAGCGAAAGTGTATAGACAGGTACAAAATAGGACCCTTATTGTTTCTAAGAGAAAAGAAAATAAATGACTGACATGCCATAAAAGAAAACCAAGTTTGGACAGTGTATGCGTCCTGTACGACATCTTTGATTTAAAGCAATATTTTTTGGCGCGCTGCCATAGTTAAGAATCGCAGTGTTCCATGAGAAAAAAACGTATTTATAGTTATTGGGTGTATTGGAACTCAATGGAAGAATTAACTAAGCTTGGCACGTGTCACTCAACAAATACAGGACCTATAATCAAATTTAAAAACAAGTAGGTCTAAGCTTTACTGTTAACAATCACGACAGAACATAAAACGGTATTCGAACTTTAAATATTGTATCGACCGCGGGTTGTATGGAGCAGGCGTGGTACTCAGGCAATGGGGTTGAACAACACATTTATTAACTCGAATCGGGAAAGGTACACACACAGGGACAGGGGTTACAGCGCTGCACCTACACTAACACACAAACGCAAAGGGAAGAGACTGTATCCCAGACTCCGTCCCACTATATAGTCCGGTAGTCCCCAGGTGCTGTTCTCAGCCCGCCCTGTGTGGAGCTCCATTGTAAAATGTTACATGTTTCACGTTCTTTATGGAATTTAAATACAATTGAAACCCCACCCCAAAAGCACTAAAAGAGTATTATTAAAACATTTGACTTATGAATACGAAATTTACCCAAGATGATTAATAAATTCATTACTGTATAAATAAATGTTCTTTTTTCGAATTTTCTCTTACATAGTACAACAAAATATCAAAATCCTTAATATAAAATCTTAGTATTCTATATTTCCAGAGAATTGTCATGACGTGAATTGAATGTGCTCTGTCTGGCAATCTCTGTCGCTAAGATTGGCGCAAGAGGTAGCCAGTTTAAGAAGCACTTAGTGATTAAAGAGTGGGTCGGGGAGCACGTAGACTACGAAGGATTTAACGTTCTACTTTAGTTACGATGGGTTTTGGGAAACACTCGTAAATTAACGAACGATCTTAAGTGCGAGTTTACGATATTCTTAGCTTTACGATGCTTTTGGGAAACTCACCCCAGGTCTGCTGTATGGTTGATGATATTGAACAATGCTTCCAAGAAAAAAAGAAAGCAGGTGCTGTTCTTGTGGCCACAGTCTGGCATAAAGGACTCATACTCAAACTGCTTTGTACCATCCCAAACAAGAAAATGGTCCTCTTTATCCAAGAACTAATCTCTAACAGATCATTGATCTTAACACTGGGCAACGACACCTCCAGGAAATTTTACCTTAAGAATGGCGTCCCGCAAGGCTTGGTGATGGCGCCAATGCTGTTTAACATCTACACAGCTGACCTGCCATGTACAACTGCCAAAAAGTACATATACGCAGACAACATTGCTATTATGCATTGCTCCACAGACATCAAAGCAATAGAAACTACACTATCGAATGACCTGAACAAGCTGAACTGCTACTTCAAAGACTGGAGGTTAAAACTTAGCATCAAATGCAAGACAGTGAGCAGCATTTTCCACCTCGCCAATCGCCTTGCTAACATAATCAACGTCAAGTGTGAAGACAAAACTATTCCATTTGAGAAAAGCCCGAAATATCTAGGAGTCGTCCTTGACCACTCACTGACCTTCAAGCAACATCTCGAACAAACAGCAGCAAAAACCCAAGCAAGGAACAACCTCCTGCAAAGACTAGCTGGCACTAGCTGGGGTGCAAATTTCACCGTCTAACACACCTCTGTGCTTTCTCTGGCCTTCTCGGTAGCTGAGTACTGCTCTCCTGCCTGGCACAACAGCAGCCACACAAAGAAGGTAGACACAGCCCTGAACAGCAGCATGCGCATTATAACCGGGTGCATCAGATCTAAGCCCACTGAATTGCTACCGATTCTCAGCGGCATCTCTCCACCTAACCTTCGCAGAGAAGCAAGTTGCATCAACCTTGCACTGAAAGCCTCGGATGACTCCAACCACCTGCTGCACGATGCCATCTGCAACTGGAACACCACAGTCCTCCGATTAGAAAACCGGCACTCACCTTCTAACACAATGAGGCGCCTCATGAAAGAAGCAAACAACGACAATGGCACTAATTGGGCTAACAAAAAGTGGCAAGACACATGGAATAATAATAACCACAGACTGAAACAATTTATTGACAAAGTATCCAACACACCTGCTGGAAATGACCTACCCAGACAAGCCTGGGTCAAGCTGAACCGACTAAGAACCGGACACGGCCGTTTCCGGGCCACCCTACACAGGTGGGGTCTCACTGATGACCCAACTTGCGAATACGGCGATGGCAAGGAGCAGACGGCCGACCACATCCTATACTCCTGCCCTCGCTTCAGATGCTCCGGCAACTTTATTGATTTGGACGATGCCAGCCGCGACTGGCTGAGGCACCTGACTGTAACAATATAGCCATGTAACTTCTGCATGTTAAGCTCATACGAATATATATATATAATGTAAAAGTTTTAGACAAAATTAAATTAAAGACAGATGGATCTCAATATCACCTCTGCTCATACAAAGGCACTTTGGTCACCAACCTGTGTACTTTGTCCATATACCGGAGCTGGCTGGGCTGCATAGGAGCCATACCTAAAAATTGAAAAATACAATTCAGACATTGATCAGGTATTAACATTTCAGCAAAAAAACTCACTTCTGTAAACCACCACCTGCAAACAATGTGTCAAAATGACCCTCTCACAAATTTAGTGTTTTAGTCTGCAGTCATATTGTTATCGGTAAAAGAAATCAAAGACCTGTTTAAAAGTCAAATATTATACTCCTACTCGTCCTAAACTTGAAAGGACTGACATCAGCCAAATTGAGCTCTTGGAACATCTTGGTTAAGTTTTCTGCCTAGGCTTTTAACCACCTATTTCATAACTGAGCCACATTTAAACACTTACCCCTGCTGGGCTCCAGCCTGGCTGTAGGTGCTATAATCTGGAAAAAAGAAACCAAATTAGAACTTGTAACAAAGTTCTTCCTTGTGCACTAATCTCACAAGGACTCTAGATTCACCTCCTACATGAAATATTTTGCTTTACCAATAGATTCAAAAAAGCCTTGGTACGCTTACAAATAATACTACCCGCTATCAGCGTCTTTGGAAACACTTTGATGACTAAAAGGTGATGGAAATTAATGCTAAAGCTGTCGGCTCTATTCTCTAATAATGAAATGGTAGGAACACTTTAATCCTGGAACCTTAAAATGCACTTTCCTGTATAGTCTTAAAGACAGCATATTATCATTTGGCTCTATATTTGCGGAGTCTTCAACTCTTGGCTACAATGAAGATATGTAGACTGTTCTGATAGATGAAATGTTGTAGCTTCAAAATACACTACATGATTTATCAGGTCAATTAAACACAGGTCATCCTGAATCACCTGGGCCTACGTCTAAAAACTGGGAACAATTACTGAGCAAATCTTAATTCAAGGATCTTTGGCTCTTGATGCCTAACTTATTTATAATTGTGCTATAAAAGTCTGCTAAAAATCTTATCACAATTACAATATTCTACAGTTTTACAAACATAATTTAGGAGAAAACTACAAAACCTCTTGTGCTGGACCTCTGCAGAACTAGGAATGGAAGACCCTCAGGTAAAGCCTGTCAATAGCATTACACAGTTGTGGGCCATAATGAGTTTACATAAACTGGACTACAACTGTTTTTCAAACAGGGCATTTGAGAAAATTACCTGCTCAGGTTTCAGAGCATAGAAAGCAATGTACACAGTACATTACAGTTGTGGCAACAGCCATATACACGTTAAACTACCAGTCACTGCATGTTTGTGGAATAGTTTTAGATAATATCATGAATTCTAAATAAAGCACATTTAGAATCCAATATAAAGCCTTTACAAAAACACATATTTGGGATTAGACATATGTAATTTAAAACACTTGTATATTCTGCAAGAAAACCTAGAGAGACAAGAGAATTACAAAAGAGTCTGCTGTCTGTATTGGAATTTGAAGACCAAATTAATACAACTCTAACCAAGATGCAAATGCCTAACAGTGTCAAGCACTGTAAAGACAAAAAAACTGAAGGGAAAAGCAAGGCTTAAACATCACTAGCATTAAGTTCTGCAGACTTTTTAAAATAATCTCATCATGTTTAGTTATAGTCAAATTCCAAGGGTATTTCACATATACAAACGACTGTATTCACTCATGTAGCAGTTATGGCATGTTTGAATAGGAAAGCTAGGAGCATTGTGAGCTTACAAACAATGGCCACAGGATTAGCTAGAAGCTACAGACATTGTTGGGCAAGAACAAACAACTATCAAAACCATGAAACAGCACATCCTTTGTAAACACTGAAACAACAGCCTCAATGATCACTTCAGCTCTGTGGAGAGATAGGGATCCCAGAGTGCAACGTCCAGTAAAATAACACAGGGCTAGTCTTCCAGTTGGACAACAGGGGACAAAGTTCACACACAGCCCACAGACACTTGAAGGCAACACAGCACTAAGCATCCCAAGCCTGTGAAAGGAGGAATTATACTTTAAGGTACAGAGGGTATAGTACAGATCGAAGATGGCGTGAAAGTGCACACAGGTACAAGGACAACTCAGGTATGCAGCAGCTGAACACAAATGCAGCAGGATATCACTAGCTACAATTTAGGAAAATTAAAAATAAGATACATTAAGGCCTTAACAGCAGTAGAAGCCCGAATATCACAGGTTCAAAACCAAGCCTTTCTCAGACAAAATAACTGCGTGCAGTTTTGTCCTTCGCATTCCCCATCACCTCACCACGCACAGCGGGCTGAGGGGACACCGTCACGCTAAAAAACAAACAAACAAACAAACCCAAGTCGCGGAGTCGCGTCGATACAGCTCGGATACCTTGCTCAAAATGCATTTTTTTCTTTTTTTTTAAAAAAGAAGTTTGATATCTGACGCACTTCTCCACTGCAAAAAAAAGGGGGTCCATCGCGATATTAATAATAATAATAATAATAATCATAATAAGCGTTTACCAAGCACCTGGGGGGTTTGAGCGAAGGCCATCCCCACAACAACACCTACAGCTGCGCCCCAACAGGAGTGTGGGCAGCCGTGTGACCCCGGCAGGGCCTGGGCATGCAGCTGGCGCTGCAGCGCGGAGGAGGAGGAGGAGGAAGAGGAGGAGGTCGCCATAGCAGCGTTTTTACAACAAGCCGGCGGCGTCTGACAGCCCCGCATGGCGCAGGAGCCGCTCGGGAAAACACCCGCGATCCGGCAGGCCGGAACACCCCACACACGCCCAGGGGGCTGCGTGCACTCCGATTACGGCGAGTTTTGTTTTTGGGGGTGGGGGTAAGGGAGTAAACAACAACAACAACCACATCTGGCCCTCGGACTCGCGAAGGTGTGAAGAACGAGGCGCCCCCACGAACAGCTCAGCTAGATCCCCCCAAACACGCCATTCAAGCGCTTGAAACGCTGGACCGCCCGCCCTGCCGCTGTACAACCGCCCGATATGCACGCCTCATTTCGGCTTGCCCGCTCCCCGTCAGGGTAGCGGGAGGTCCCCTCCTCCGTCGCGGCCAGGGTGTCTCCACTCTCAGAAGGCCGCGACCGCGGCCACCCCGTCCGCTTCACCTCGCACCGGCGAGCACCGCTGTCTCCGGACGCGATCAAGCGACCGTGCACACCGCGCACGAAAATACGGAGGCAAAAATACATTTTAACAAATAAAACGCACTCTTTTTTTTGGGGGGGTGGGGTTTACGCCGCCCGACGGAAGAGATGCGCTTGGTTTAATTGATTAGTTTTGAACACCGGCCACAAGGCAACAGTTGTCCTTCCGTACGCTGCAAATCCAGCCCCTTCACGGACAAAATATGAGAGGGGAAAAAAAAAACGATCCCGTCTTACGGCACCGAGGAAAAGGCGTTTCTGCAGAGGCCGATGCAACCGGCGCAGAACCCTGAAATTCAAAAGTATTCCAACTAAATGGGGATGTACGTCCACCCCATCCCCCAATACTGCAATTATCTCGCTTTCACAGCCTAAACACCGCCACAAGGGGACGGGGAGCATGCTGCAGTGCGTGCCATCTAGTAACAGCGGTCAGATCTGTTTGCCATTTTCACCAAAATATAAATATAAAACCGAGTAATAAATCGAAACGGCTTCCCCGCCGCCCTCACCAGCTGCTGACGCCATTTCGTGTGTCCTCTGTGAGTGTTCCTGGCGCGCATGCGCGAAGAGGGGCTTAAGCCTCTACCAACTCTCACCGTCGTAGGAGGAGGAGAAGAAGCAAAAAAAATCCGATCCATTTGGAAAGTTTAGGATCCATTCACGTAATAACGCGATTTAGTTCTTGTGGGTAAATTATTTATTTATGGTCAGTGATTTTTTTTCCATACGCTGGGTTTTAGGGAACTCGAACTCACTTCGAAAATGGTACATTCTAGTTGGTCACCCCCCCCCCACATGACGTAAAAAGCATGCTAGGGACCGTCTCAAAATTTTTCAATGAGAAGAAAAATTCAATACGATGAAACACAAACAGGTGACAATTCAACACAGAGCAATCCTGCCCTGCGAGTAATTATTTTAATCTGAGACTCACGGTGCTCTTTGTGCACATCTTGTAGATGGAGGACAAGGTTAGTCATATATTTTTGACTGGTACGCCTTGCAGAATTGGTTCTCACACAGAATTCTCATTCAATAACCTTTTTTACCAACAGGTGAGTGGAGTTCCCATGGGCACCAGAATGGGACCCCGCTATGCCAATATTTTTGTCGGCTGGGTAGAAGATTGTCTCTTCGCTTCCTACACTGGCTATGTCCCTGACCTCTGCAAGCGATACATTGATGACTGAGTCGGTGCTGCCACATGCTCCAACGATCAGCTTGAGTTCTTCCTGCATCATTTCACCAACTTCCACCCCTCCCTCAAATATACAGTTAACATATCTTCCACTACTCTTCCGTTTCTAGACATCAACTTCTCCGTCAACTACCCCCGACTCTCCACTTCGGTCTATTACAAACCCACGGATTCACACGGCTATCTCCTGTACAGCTCATTTCACCCCAAACACACTAAAAACTCTCTTCCCTTTTCACAGTTCCTTCGGCTACGATGATTATGCAGCGACGACACCGACTTCCAGAACCAAGCCCTCAAAATGTGCTCCTTTTTCATCAGCAGAGGATACCCCAGCAGTGTGATTGACGGGGCCCTCGCCCGAGCTAAAAACACCCCTCAGCTCAATCAGGAACCCCAACCGTAACAACCGCATACCTTTGTGCTTCCCTACCGCCCCGACACTGTCTATCCCCAAGACCATTAGCAACAACTTTTCCAGCCTACAGGATGATCCCTCCATTGGGGCCCTCTTTTCTGACCACCCATCATCTCATATCGCTGACCACCTAATATACATAACCTTCTTGTTCACAGCTCCCTTGACTGCCCTCAGCACCCATCCACACCAGGCACTTTCCCCTGCAACTGAGCTGACTGTCCCCTCCTCTCTCCCAGCTCTTGTTCTCCTGCTACATTACCTCTGCCTACTGCCCTGTCGTTCTCACACCTGAAGAAGGCTCCACGGCCGAAACGTTGTGTGTTTTCTTTCTTCTCTATTCAGCATGGAATAAACCTATTACTTGTTCAATTGCAACCTACGCGTGCTGGCGCAGCTACCCACCTGAACTACTCTTGACTTTTACTTGTGTTCATCGGATAACAAGCTCGTCAGTTCTAGTGTTCAGTTTTGTGATGATCCCTAACTCTAGGATGTGCGGTTCGGGGAAGTTTAGTACTTTTTCCTAATATGCTTCGTCGTGGCTGAAATGAAATAGGGTTTTATTTGTAAATTATGGGTTGACAATGCGGTGGTTCACTAAACCTTCAGAGAGAGTCCTGAATATCGCAGACACGGTATTGCACGAACCATTTATTGAACTCGACTGTTTCAGTTTCGACGAAATTGGTGGTGAGGGGACTCTTAGCCGGTGAAAGCCTTCAGGTGTTGATTTCATACTGAAAGTAAGGCGGGGGAAGAGGCACCTGGGGCTTGACAGAATGGGCGGACAGATGACTTGCGATGCTTAGCCGGTTCCCCTCGTTCTGGTCTCGGCTTGGGTCGAACCGGTCCGGGTTTCCAGCCGGCACCGCCGGGTTGCTCGGTGCCGTACTGGTTACTTGGCTCAGCGGAGCGTACGACACTCTGTACCTCGACTCGGAAAAAGTGTTACCTGGATTGCAAGGTGAGTCCGCCCAGGGGTGCATTCGTGCAGCAGGCGGTAGGTACAGGCGCACCTGCACCGTTCTCTTTCACAGGAACACGAGGGTGTCTCCTGCCTAGCAGCTGCTGAGGAAATTAAATATATAATTAATATACAAAATACTAGATCTATTATTACAGCATACATTTCTATAAAAATCTAAACAAATAACGGAAGGGTTGTTTTAGGTTTTTAGATGTAACTGCATGTAGCAATAGATGGGTTTTGATAACACACAGCAAGTGTAGGAAACAATATTCGTTTTCTTAATGATCTTGGAAGAGTTATCCCACAGTCTACCCTGCCAGCGGGACCTGGCGTTAACTCCCTTTGTCCGTTGCTTTGTCTTGGAGTTCACCGCCTGTGGACCTACGCCTTCTGCCACCAGGACCCTGCGGCCCTGCTCCTCAGCAGCGCCGCCCTGCTGGCGCTGGGGCCGGCGCAGGAGCGGCGCTGGGGCAGCGCGTGCTTCCTGGCCCTGTCCCTGCTCTCCTGCTGCCTGCCGGCCCTGCTGTACTGTGTCCTGGCGCGGCTGGGGGCCGGCGGGGCGGGGCAGGTGGGCGGCTACTCGCCGGTCCACTTCGCCATGCTGGCTGCCCAGTGCCACCTGGGCCAGCAGGGACGGGCCCGGCGCTGGCTCCCGGCCTGGGCCCTGCCCTGGGCTCTCCTGGCCGGCAGCTGCTTGCTGGTGCCGGCCTCCCTCGCCCTGCTCCACCTGTGCGCGGTCTGCGTGGGATTCAGTTGTATCCTTGTGGGAATCTGCTGCTCTGCCCCTCGTGGAGCAGGCTTGTACACGGCCCTTCTTTAAGACTTTATTTCCGCAGTGCTTTTTTTGCACCATTATTGCTGTTCTCCAGATTTTAAAGAGCCGTGATCTTTGCTTAAGACTCTTTTTCACTGCAGATGTTACAGATCCCGGATTTCACCCATCTGTCCATTTTCCAAGCTCTTTATCCAGTCCAGGGCCACAGGGGAGCCGGAGCCGATCCCAGCAAGCAGCGGGACGGCAGACTGTTATACCAGTCGGTTGCTCCCCACTGGCTGACACTTTGTACCACAGAACTGAATCTGACTGGCTGGCCCGAAACCCTGTAACCTGTGAGGAAAGGTCATTAACAAATGAAAGTCTGTGATACTTGATTTCCTTCACTGTGGACCCTCAGATAGCTCTGCCTTTCTCAAGTGGCTGCAGAAAGGAGAAGACCATCTCTGTCGTCTTCTCCCACGCAGGGCCTTTGTGCTTTCCTCTTATAGAGACAGTCTTCCCGTGAGCAGCACGGGTCAAAGGTAGGAACAACTGAAGCCCAGGGTGCGAAACACTCTGTAAGGAACCCTGCATGTGTCTGCATCTCCTCTTGGGAGCTGGTCGGTCGTTTTGAGGTTGGACGCTGCTGAGCATGACAAGGTGAATCTGAGACATCTGTGCACCCAAAGAAGATGGATCTTCTCATAAAATACTAATAACTTAGATTCACAGCCGGTGCTCCACTCTACGTTTAATACATTAGACCGTAGAGAGCTCTGATAATCAGGTTGAATACTGACGTTACTTCATTCTTCCTTCTCCCTGGGTTTCTTTGACCTGGGGAGACAGTAAGGGTTGGGTTGTGTCATGGAATCCAGCCCTTATTCCAATTGTGTCGTGACACATGTGTTACAGACCTGATCCGTGGGCAGAGCCGTCCTCTGCCAGGCAGCTGGAGCCCTTGCAGAGGTCCCAGTGGGAGGAGTATGACACGCGGCCTGAGCCCTGGAAATCCCAGGAGCCTGACTGGGCAGCAGGAGGGGTGCCGGCTGTCTCCGAGGTCCAGCTCTTGGAAGAGCAGCTGCTGAGAGCAGGGATCCTGGCCTCTCTGCAGGACGCTCCTGAGGGATCCGTCGAGAAACTGGAGCTGCCCAAATCTTCAGTGTCATCTCTGCGGTGAGTCACCGAAACCTGTGTTCTGGGAACGCAGAGGTCAGTGCCCTTCTGACACGCAGGGCTAATGCTAAAGGAAACTACCCCAGTTTTTTACATTCTGGTCTAATCTGCGTAGGTAATCCTCAACCCCAGAGTACTGGTTTGAAGTGTGTAGTGGTCGTTTTTATTGAAAGAGGTTGACTCGGTAATTCACCAATCAAATTAAATAAGGTCACGTATGTAAAAGAACTGAAACCAAAACAGATGAGGTTGTATGGAAAGAAGTCTGAACTTGAACATGCTAGTTTGCACAAAAAAATACCCTACGTCCAGGGTTGTCAGTGTGCATGAAACAGGTCAAACACAGGAATACTTAGAGACTGCAGTCCTGTCCGTCACAGGTCATGTCATAATATTCATGCAGGTGGAATTAACACATGTCTTGGGTTTTCAAGAACAGTGGAGTACCACTGCTATGGTTGTGAAGTGCAGTGCTTTAGGTGGCAGCTAAGTTAATGGTCAAGAGTGAGAAAGTTCTAAGTAGGTCAGTGTAGCATTTAAAAACTCGAAGGAAAAGGAATAGAAACCAGAAGATACTGTGAGCCTTAAGAGGATTGAAACCAGTGTTGTAGGTTTTGTGACTCATGTCTTGGAATTAGCATTCTGTGAAAAAATGTTATATCTGAGTCATATTTGGAGGCTTTGTGCTTCCATTGGGGATTTAGATGCGTTCTCTTTGATATAGGGCCTAAAGGAGATATTCTCTTGGTGTTGGTATGTGGACATGTTTGTGTTTTTCCTTTGAGTCCGACCGTAAAAATGACATTTTGCTAAATGCATGGTTTTCTTGTCTGTTGTCTCGGAAACAAGCCATGTGTTATACCTAAATACTTTCTTAAAAGACATGTTTGTGAGGGAGGCATGGTGGTGCAGTCTTTAGCATTGCTGCCTCGCAGTGCTGGGGCCCTGGGGTCAGTTTCTGGGGTGCTGTCTGCGTGGAGTCTGTATATTCCCACTGTGTTCCCATGCGTTTTCTTCGGGAGCTCAGGTTTCCTCCCACAGTCCCAAGACATGCTGGTGGGGTAATTGGCTTCTGGGGAAATTGGTACAGGTGTTGGTGTCAGAGCACAAGCTGACCTGCGATGGACTGGGGTCCTGTCCAGGGTGTACCCCGACAGTTGCTTGCTGGCTCCCCTGCGACCCCGAATTTGATGAAGCAGTTAGAAAATGAATGGATGAAAACGTTTTGCGTTGCGTCTAGACGCAAGATCACCTCTCACTTCGGAGTTCTGTGCTTTGTTCTTTCTCAGACAAAAGACATCTTCTAGGTCTTGTGTTTAGCACAACAAGGCACCCAGATCCCAAAGCTCTCGCCGCGGTCGTGGAAAATCCTTCAGAGCCACTTCAGCTGCCGCTTGTCTTGCAGGTTGCAGCAGCTGGAGAGAATGGGCTTCCCCACAGAGAAAGCTGTGGTGGCTCTGGCAGCCTCCGGGAAGCTAGATGGCGCTATTTCCCTCCTGATCGACGACGGGGTGGGAGAGGAAGCCGTGGTCACTTCCAAAGGGAGGACGCCTTCGGCACAGTGGACTGGCTGACCTCTCGGAGTCGGGAGCCCCCTCCGATCTTGGCCACCTGTACACCCCTTTCAGGTGACTTTTATTGTGGTCGTGAAGATTAAAGGTCAACATTGGACTGAGCTCTGCTCTAAGATAGCAGTGTGATTCACCCTGGATTTGTGCCGATTTCAAACCTGGTTTGCAGAGTTAAATGCATTTTTATGTTGAAGTGAATTTCGGCATACAGATCCATTGTTTTGCAAGTGATTCCTGTACCTTCTCATGTACTGCACAGAATAAATTAATACTAAATTAATGTTATGGCAAGATTCTGAATGGGTTCTGCTTTCCAGTACTGGTTTAGGGAAAACATTGTCCAAAAAAAATTGTCATCTGAGTTTTGTTTGAGATTTTAGTAGTTTTTCAGTCAGCACAAGCAACAGCAGATTGATGATACTTCTTGTCAGTCCATGAAAAGAAGGCTTGATTATAATGCCTTTAGACTGTATTCCACCTTTTTACAGTTAAGCAGCTAAAAAAAATACGCATTTTTGCTTAATTTATGAGGGATTGAAGCTAAAATCATTCCGTTATGAATGCTGCTCCACCTTCTAATCTGTAAAAGAAATACATGATTTTGGATTAAACCGCACTGTAGTACAGCCTTTTGTGGTTAAATTGAGCCAGAATAGAAAGATCTCTTAAATTAATGCTTTTTTGCAGGTGTAATGGTGGCGAGATCTTTACAATTACAGTTAACCTTTCTCCAGTGAGAACAATTTGACTATGCACTGTTGGTGCATAAAGGCGTACTCTAGAATCCAACACTCCTGCACCCCTCACACCCTCCTCTCTCCGTCTCGTGTGCGCTGTTACCATGTGACGTTCAGTGCGGACATGATGCCTTGTTGGACCGTTTTGGTTCTTTTGTTCTGGTTCATATCCTTCCAAAGCAGCGTAACATCAAAATGCAGATGAAAATAGGAGTCGCAGGGGAGCCGGAGCCTATCCCAGCAAGCAACGGGTGCGTGGCAGGGTACACCCCGGATGGGACACCAGTCCATCGCAGGGCACACACACTCCCACCAGGGCCAATTAGTCTATGGACTGTGTGGAGGAAAGTGGAGCGCCAGAAGGCAACCCATGTGAACATGGGGAGAACACGCAAACTCCACACAGACAGAGCCTTAAAGAGGCAGTATTGCCAAGCACCATGCCACTGTGCCACCTGTACAATGTAGAACTTGCTTTTTTGTGGTACGAGCTTACAGGATTTGGTTCCTTGCAAAGCTCTCCTAAATCAGCCACCATTTCATTTGCACCTGGAACGTTTCAGGTGACTTTTAACCACATGTCACACTTTACACTGACATGGTTCAGAAGTTATCCGGTCAGTTTAATGTAGAGAGAAGTCCTCCCACAGATGTCCAACATTTACAAGATTTTAGTCACCAGCTACATTTCTTTAGTTTCGAGCAGCAGAGAGGCAAAAAAAACCCTGCAAACACCAAGTGGCCAAGTGATTTTGATTAAGGACCAGCTTGACAATCAGAGATTCATCTATTGGAGGGATTCAGTTTACTTTTATTTTTGCTGTGGCCCCAATTCTAATCAAGTGATGATTGTACTCTTTAGTCAACAAAGGTCACACATTCCTGGTCTTTCAGGATGCAATATTTGTTTTCATGGTACACATGCAAAAGAGGAGTTTAGGCTCATGGGGCAAAAATAACATCTTTAATTTCCAACAATCATTCCATTTCCAGCAATGGGTTTTGGATTACATGGGTACAGAACGTTGTGAATGATTTTGAAAAAAAAAACACTAAAAAATACACATGGTAGTAAAATGTTAAGGGGAATCAAGGTGACAAGTTAAAAAATGCTAAGGATTATTTTTAAATAATACACAAAACAGTTTTATTTCAATAAAAAAATCAAAGAGGTTTAATGACTTGCAAATCAAACTAAAAAAAACTTTACTAGTGGTACTAATTACAAAGATATTCACGTAGCAAAATCATGTTCTCTTCCCATCATAAGGTAACAAATGAAGGACTTCTGTAAATAGACTGCCATAGGTGAGCAATGCAGGAACTTTAAGTTCTATGTGAAGAACACTATCTTCCCCAGCAAGAAAATAATGCCCCCATCTTTATAAACATCCAACCAGGGGGACACATTGGAGTCTCTGTATAAAAGCAGGTAACAGCTTGTCCTGACTGTTTACTGTGCGGAGAGGCAGGAGTCCTTTTCCATTGGGGAGCCTTCAGGAGGGCTGGTTACTGCTCAGGACTGAATGCTTATTGCATCCTGTACCAGCAGATGTTCCAGAGGAGATCTGATTTCTGTGATTGAAGCAACCGGCTGCTGAGCAAAAACCACATCCCTGTGTATCTCTCCAGCTGCTTGGGATAAACTTACGGGTTAAGAGCATGGGATTAAGGGTTGTCCGAAGGGAATAAAGCGTTTTGTAAATAAGAGCAAGCAGCCCAGGAGAGCAGCACTCTATGTTGTTCAACTTGCAGCAACAGGGTTTCTTTCGTAGAGCAGTCGGGAGAAAAAAAAACATGCTTACATATTTTCTAGTTCCATTTTTTCCTGAAGTGCCCCCACGTTTCAGAATCAACGACAAATGTTTTCTCTTTCACAGCTATATCCCGAAAAGGTATTCGCTCCAGTCAGGAATTTGCATTGAACTTCCTATAGTATTTGTGAGTCGGTTGCTTGTTGTTCTTGGATTATGGTTCGAAAGTTGAACAGGGAATTGTTTTTTTATCTGCAGATTGTGCATTGCTAATTGAATTGTTTCAGGTCATCCACAGCACAGCATTTGCAGTTTGCCTGGCATTTTTAAAATGTTTAAGCCGTTTTTATGTCGTAAAGAGCCGTGCTTGTCTGTAGGGGTAGAAAGAGGTGCAAGTGAACTCATTGTATTATCAGCGAGCACCAGAAAGCTTTCCCCAAGGTGCCCTAAGCCTGCCAGCAGCACTAGGCAGCAAGCTGAGTGAATCCCATTGTCCATGAGCTTGGAGAGGAACTTGGCAGTGATGTGTGCCAGTGGGGTCCGGATGATCTTTCAGGTGGTATACTGTCCAGGACGTTTGGCACCCGGGATCATTTTTCCTCTTCGGCCTCCCGGGATAATGTTGAAGAGAGGGCCTGGTAGGCAGAGATCTTGGAACGTTTATCCCGGTAGAAGCCAGGAAGCGGGGTACCATATTGGCCCTCACCCGACCCAACGTCCGGTTCTGTTGAAGAAACAAGACCTTGACTGTGCTGTAATGTGGTGCCAAGAAAGGCAGCCACCAGCACTCTGAATTACAGGAAAGACGGGCTTGTGGCCATAAGCTTCTACAGTATCTTAGATCTCTAGCCAAGCCTTACCTAATCTAACAAAGTGAGCTCAAATTAAAGTTGACGATGCATTACATGAACAATGATTAGTTGATTACTAATATGTTGATCATCCTGACTTTCATTGTGAAGCCACCAATTGTATGTAACCATAATTATATTCATATATACGATACGAATGCCAAAAAAGGTTTCCAGCAGTGTCATTTCCAACTGTGTTTTTAATTTTTCTCCAACAGTTTCAGGGTGGATGAACGCAACAAAGCAACTAAACCAAACACAGATGCACGAGTTTGCTTTGAGAAATGGCGTTCGGTTCAGTAAACATTAGGTGGTGAATAATGAAGCTGACAAGGTCTTTATGGAAATGGTTGCTATGTCACACAGACAGCAGGTGAAGTGAAGGATAGCTACAAACCTTGCTGCATTACTGCGTGGTCAGAATGCTTTGGAAATGCCAACAATAATTAAGCTTCACATGCTTATGTGTTCGAAAAGATCAGAAGATGAAACGTTGTTGAACGATTGGGTGTGGATCGCCGAAGGGCCAGTGTGTGGTATGCCAGAGGGATTCAATACTTTCTTCCCTTACCCCACCACAGCAGAAGACCATGGAGAAGGCAGACAGCACAGGCCCACATTCCCCAGAAGCTCAGTTCATAGCAGTCGGTCACTTGGATCGGGTACCAAAAACATCTGGCCAGATGATGATCTTAGAGGATGGCTATTCCCTCGTAGGGTGCAACTCGGAAGTACAACTCCAAATTGCCAATCCGAAATACATTTCTGATTCGGGGCAAGACAAACTGTAACTGCCCCTTTTTTGATTTACCCAGCTGATGAAGGCCAATTGACTAAGAACTGAGTATGTGTTGGAAATAGCACATTTAGGAAATAGAAGCAGTGCCAGCGCCCTACCCCCATATAAAAAGGACTTTAACACCACTTGGTTGTCTTTTCAGAGTGCAGGCTGAACCCTAGAGTGCAGCCATTTCTGGTTCAAGCCTGCCCTATGTCATCAGCTGACTTCTGGAAACGCCCAGGCAGTGGTGGGGGTGGGCTTGGTTGAGACGGTCAAGGTGGCAGGAACCCTAGACCTTTGAGTGTCTGCGAGCTGGCAGTGCTAGCAGTGAGAGATGCATCTCTCCTCCAGTCGATGCTGAATCTCTCCTGTTGGCTCCTGTGGAGCTCAGGGCACATCACAAGGGGCAGCAGCCTGGTAGCGGGAGTCTTGAACAAAGGCGCATGCAGTCCTCGACACCCCCCACAGGCTGACGCTGGTGCCGAAATGAAAGACGACTGGCGATGCCAAATTGGGGGGAAAGTATAAAATTGAAAAGAATTGTCAATTCTAAATTTGAGGAAAAAAAACCAAAGGGAGTAAGTAAGGTTACCTGGCCAGATGATGGCTTCCAGTAATGTCACCCTCCGAGCCAGAAGCTCAAGATCAGCTTGCATGTCTTGGAACATCTGCAAGCTAAAGGCCTATTGGAGATCGAAAACAGTGACAGGGATGGGAGGCGAAGGCAAGGGGACCGCAAGCCCTTACCTGAGACCTCGGGTGCCCAGCCAGTGAAGGCAAGAATGAGGACAGACCTTCTCCCACATGAAACCAGTGTGAAAATCCACCTCTGCCAAAGCCCTCAGCTGTCACACCAGACCTCGGAAAGGCAGCGCACGAGCGCTGCTGTGGCAGTGTGCTGCTCCGCACACTCGTTGGCGTTGCTGTTGTGTTTTTACGATACGCGTTAAACGCTTTGGAAAAGTACCAAAGGGAAACCGAGAAACCTGAGTCTTAGGGCTGTGTTTGCACATGTCATGAGGCAAGACTGGCCGGGTCCTGTAATTGACCCATCCCCAAGACGGCTAAGGAACTGAAAGGAATTGCTGTGGAACCCAGCTGCTGTGCTTGATCCCTAAACACGCTGCTGCTCACAGACAGGTCAAGTGAGGAGAGCGAGGAGGGACCAGGAAGAGGAACAGGTGCTTCAAGGCACGTTTGCTTTTCATGCTGGAGCCAGGACTGCCAGCTCCTTCTTGGAATATTGCACTCTCTCCCGGAAGCGGATGGAATCAATCCGGGAGAAAGGCATAGGGCCCGATTTTAATGTAAAGGGGGCACTTGCCCATCCTCTACCCAGCCCCAGGGGTGGCCGCTGGGCAGAACTGGCAGTCCCAGCTGGCCCAGTATGAGGCCGCTGCCATCAGCCCTGTCCTTCGGCACGGAGGAGCCTGGTGCCCTCGGCGAAGGCTTTGACCAGGTGGATTTCCACAGGGGCGGAAGGACGCAGCAGCTAGCACCCTGCAGGAAAGAGAAAAGGTCCCACCTGACCACAGCTGATGCCTGACTGCTGCCCCTACTCACCATGGATACCAATCATAGTCTCAAGGATTAAAACCCTCTCGGCTAAAATCTTCAGCGCCTCCCGGATTTGGTGTATCCCGTCCCCCTGTGGAAAATAGATACAGCTGTCAAGGTGTAGGGCACAGCCAGAGCTCGCCGCAGTGCTTGGGCTTCGGCAGTTAGAGGGTTAACTCGCCATACCAGCCCGCCCCTCCCCGAGACCGGCCATGCGCTGAGCGAAGGCAGGGTTGCAGCATGCTCATGACGTCAAGTCTCCAGCCCCTAAAAAAAAACACCCCTTCGCATTCCCCCCTGCAGCTCCGAACCTGGCGTCAAGCGGCAGACCAAGGCAAGGCATTCGGAGCCCGGCACCGCGTGCCGCGCTGAGCTGCGACATCACTCTGCAGAACGAGTCTCCCCAGCTCCTTCGGGGTACAGGGTACAGGCGGTCCGGTGCAAGGGTCTGTGGCGGGGTGGTATCCAAGCGGGTCAGGAGAGCGTTTCGCTCACTACAGAATTTTGCTGTATGCAGAGCTGGTGACAGCAGGTGATCTGTCTCCCCATCCGCGTGGGATGTGGGAAGTGATACAGATTTTTAAGAATGCCTTGCTCATGGTACCGTTTGACTTGCATTCTTAGGGAATGCACACACAACAAAGCCCTTTTGATCAAGAGATAATACAGTCTCCTCCCCAGTAAACAGAAGTTTGGGTGCAACACCGTCATCACCTGCCTTACACCAGAAAGAATCTTACTTCATCCTATTTCCTAAACATCTGAACAGGTCTATCGTGTTTTCCCACTTGATTTCCTAACCACCACTCTCGATGAATTCAATAAACTCTCTGTTTAACGGACTGTGCTTTCGCAGACATTGGATTTAACAGACAAAACCTGCTAAAGGGGAATTTTGTCAAATCAGAAATGCTGGACTTTCCCTGAATTAACGGTAGGTGAATGGCTTACCATGGATATTGTGTTTTGAATGCTTTGATTAATTTTATACAGTATATTTATGGGTCATGAAATAAAGAGATGGTATATTTACGATAAAAAGACACATGAACAATTTACATTGACTATGTTAATTGAAAATGTTAAAAAATAAAAAATGGAGCATATAAGGTATATACTGAATGTATATCTTCTCTTGTATAAATATTTAACATTATTTAACGTTTTTTAACATGTATTCAGCAATAACAGACATCCCTTTCCCCTATTATTCTGTTTAACTAAGGTTTTAGTGTGTTTTAAGAAACCAAACTCATTTGGTGACAAATACCTTTCATAGTTTGGCTGTACTGGCTTTGTTATTAGTCATATTTTGTTATAATATTTTTGGCTGTACTGGCTTTGTTATATTTATCGACCTGGTGATTGGATTGTTATTAATCAGGTTATTGATCTGGTGTGTATGGGAAGGAGAGACATGGTGGCGCAGTGATCAGCAGTGCTGGGATCCTGGGTTCAGTTCCAGGGGTGCTGTCTGTGTGGAGCTTGTATGTTCTTCCCGTGTTCACGTGGGTTAGAAGGTGTTTGGATGGATAGTCTTGGTAAAATACATGTATGCTGCAGATGCCCCTTCCAGATCATTTTCTGAATACCAGCAAGTGTATCCTAGCTATCTTAGGTTCTACTAAAGCAACAAACCCTCCTACAGCTGCTGTCACTCTGGGCGCCATGTAGGGCTGCCATTCAATAGGCTTCTCCTTTCCTGTGTGGACTAAACTCCAGTGAAAGGAGCTGCTGTATCATCTCTTCCCCTAAGGGCTTTTTTTGTTAAGCATTCCTTTAAAACAAACAAAACAAACATACATACAGTAACAAGTCAGAAACACATCCATTTGCTTTCCTTCAGATGACGCAAACCAATAGTGTTAAGAGTGAATTACACAGGCCACAGTGATTGTTTTTTTCTGGGGCGGGGGATTTTCAGTCAAAGGCCACCCCTTATTTGGGGAAAAAAAGGAATTCAAGCAAAGCTCTCTGAAAGTGCTTGAGTCCATTCTTGTAATTGAAGTTACTCCTTTGAAATCTGTTATTGACAGACCCCATGGTCAGTAAGCACTGCCTGTGGTTTAATTACTTGATCATGCCTGTTGGACAACTCAAGATTTGGACAGGCAGATTTATGAAGCAGGCAAGCCTTGGTGGAGCTTTCCAGCCATTCCCTTCCTCGGTTCCTCGTGCAACTGGGAGTCTGATGCGCTAATGTGACAGAGATCCTGCATTCAAACGCTGCATTTTCATGAGTCTAGAATGTGCTCTCCACTCAGACTGACACAGCAGAAGCTTGTATACTGCACTGAGAAAGACTCTCAGTCTGCTCCACAGTCTGAGAGCTGTGTTGGCGCTTGACACTGAAAGTGCAGTAAAAAGTATAGTAACAACGTGACCACCACTGTGAAAACGGGGTGGCAGACTGGTGTATCTCCTGTGGACGTCGACGTATTTGGTATTAATAGGTAATGTCAGGGGTGGCCTTTCACTATGCTTAGTTAGGCAATCAAATATAGAGCTGAAAGAGAGAGGTGTTCAAGGCTCAGACCTATGAGCAGAGAAGACAATGGGATGAAGACCTTAATCATGTTTCATTGAAAGCAAAATGTACAGTATGGAATCATGCTTATCAGTATGTTCTGCAATATGAATTAATTGGAAAAACAATGCTTTGATTTAAGAATCCATGTAGGCTTATAACTGTCGCCATCTATTCAACTGCAGCTCAGTCACAGCGTGTGTTTCATGAATTACAGATTACACTGATCACAATATCTAGCTTCCTCTGTGGCAGAGTGCTACAGTTGTGTCCACTAACCTTTATTTATGAAGGACTACTGAGAAACAAATATGAATTCCTATAGTGAGAGGTGCTACTTATGGTGAAAGGTCTTTATCCATTTTCACTTTCTGTGGTCTTGGACACAGAAGATCAGAACAGAGCCCATGCTTTCTGGTTAGCTTGACAGAGACAGGCTCTTGTTCCACACCAGGCCACTTCTGCTTCTGGAGCAGGGCAGTTTCTCTCAGGGTGGGTTAGTACTGGAGCATGCACGCATTCATTGGGGACTCTGGAGGATAGCTGTATCCATTCACCTGCAGCCCACCCCACCCAAGACCAACCAACACCATCTCCACACACATGGCGCATGTGGCATATACAGTCTTACTGCTCCCTTAAGGACTGGCAGGGACTGGTCAGCTGAGTGAAAAAAACCTTCGAAGTGTAACTTAAAACAAACAAAAGCGTAACTTTTGGCAATGCGTGAAACAAAACGTAAAATACTTTTGATATATACGACGGGTTTGTTTTAATTTTAGTTGACTATTTAATACGAGCTACAGAGTATCATGCACAATCTTTCCCGTGCTGTACCAGCAGACCAGAGGTCAGCAACATTCAGCAATTTTGGCTTATTTAGATTTTGTATCAGTTGTCGCAAGTGACAGTTCAACCACAGATTAAAATGAGTTAATGAGGGGGGTGTGCTTCAAAAGCTGTTATCCATTAATTTTATGATGCAGATATCTAGGTGACAGTGCCTGATTCTTCCTTAGACCAAGTCTGTTGACATTAAAATAAGCAGCTTTGACATGAAGGTGATGCATCTGTGACAAAAAACAAGGCATCGTATGGAACAGGCACAAACACATGGCAGCTGGAGCTGGTGATATATTCAAGGCCTGATGCTGGCTGTCATGCAGAACGGCTGATATTTATAATGCAGGCCAAGCAAATGCTGAGCACAGATTGGAAAATCTTCTGCGGAGACGGTTTTGCCAATTTTAAAACGCTACGACCCTCTGAAATAGCGGTGTGCTACGTGACACTTGTACGAAACGGTAAATTATACAAATCTTTCTTTCCCTGCTTTGACCGTGGTGAGGGTCGTTACCTTCCACTAGATGGTGGTATATCATCTCATGGTGGTATATCACTGCTATTCCTTGGGAATGTGCAGTGTCAAAACTGAACCAGGTCTTCATCAGATTGCTCATAGAAGAATCAAGCAAGCAGTGATAAAAACAACAGCTCAATATGCTTTTGCAGTGGCCGTGATAGTTCTAATGAGTATGGATGAAGACAGAGCAGAGGTTTCCTTGGCCCCTAACCTCTGCTGGGTAATCTTCTATACCCTCTGGAAATTTGCACCAGGAACACATCTGTAAAACTGGAGGGTATCACTACATCTTTCCCTTTTTGTATGCAGATGTATATGCCAGATGCTGAGGCCCAGAAAGTGACTGTGAATGGTAGCCATGGAAACAGTTTCTTGCAGAGTGAGACGGATGGGATTGAGGGTCAAACAGAACATTACTGAAGGGCAGCAACCAACAACAGCCCAGGCGTCCAAAAAATTCCTAATGACACACTGTGACATTCAGCTATCACAACAGCAGCATTCAGACTTGTGTAACCACAGCTACACATAGGAGACTTCATTCTATGTGACCATTTGATGTGGTATAGCATGTAATTGAAGTCTTATTTGTGCCATTTGGATTTATTGGCAGAGTGAAGTCATTTTCTTCTCTCGAAAAGCTTCACAGAATCATTGAACTGTGTTATTCCTCAGCAGCACAGCTCAATGTGGTTTTTCAAATGGCTTCACTTACACTGCCCTAGCTGATACAAAATCCTTTAATTCACACTCATATCATTGTACCACACAGTCACTGACATACTGTAATTGCTGGCTCCCTTTATTAATCAGTATAGTATTAATCAGTAATTAACTGTAATCACTGCTGTTTATTAAAGAATGCTAATTTCACAGTGAGCTTATTGAACACACAGTACGTGCTGAAGATTTTGAGAGAATTAACTGATATAACACACAGGCAGTGCTTTGTGTTTGACATGATGAGAAATGCAAATGTCAAAAATATTTGAGCTACTTAGTTTTACATTTGAAACTAAGGCTTTCATTTAAAAAATGGAAAAGTCAACTGTAAGGAATAAGAAAAGGTTTTCTTTCACACTGTTTTGCTTCATAACTTTAAATTCAGATGTGTTATATAACAGCATCATTGAAAACTACAGGTGGCAATAATATCAGTGGGAGTCAAAGGATTATGCATTGAAAAGTAATGAGAGCAAGAGAGCATATTTGTTCCCAATTTGAAAGTGTTGTGAGAAAGAAAGAGAAGAAGAAAGAGAGCAAGTTAATTTGGAAACAACTTTGAATTTCTAATTTATTGAATATATAGATTTTCCTATATCAAGAGTAAACCAGTTACAATTAGTAAGAAAAAAACAAATTAAAACTGAGCCTTAGCTCTGAAATGCAGCACAACCAGAATGTGAAGTCAAAGTATCCATGAGGATACCAGAACGACATAAGTCAGCAATTGTATTGCCTGTAAATCTGAGTTCTGAAAATACACAATAGTATCATTTTAAAGAAGATCCACAACACTCCGTTAGCACTTGGTCATTCTTACAAGCAAAGTCTATACAGCCTTTATAGATAAATACAATGAATTTCCCAGACTGCAGGCCACACATGCAATATTCCCATGTGACGATCTGGAATATGTGCAAAACCTGGCTGTGTGAAAGTGATCTACCTGTGGTGAAGTGACAGGTGAGATACTGTGATACAGGGTGCTTGGACTGTAGGGACTAAGACGCAAGATGGCACAACTGTGTGACATAGGCACGCAGATCAATAGGGATTGTGAAAGCAAAGTGGAACAGTATATCACTATCTGTAAATGTTTTGTTGACTGTTTCTGCTTTAATTTGCTGTAATCTGAATTTCTTAAGACAATTCTGCCTCTAAACTGGCTGGACATCTCTTGACCTCAGGGGCTCAGCTCAGTATCACAGTATCACTGTTTTACAGCGGCTGAGGAAGAGTGTGACGGTGTGAGAGACCAAAGTGTCTCAGTGGTGGAGGAAGAGTGTGGCAGTGTGAG